CGCAACGGTTTTTTTTTTTGCCAAGCTTTTGGAATAATTATTCCATCACCAGGGCTCAAAACTAAGGATTAGGGATTCCTGATTATTTCTACCCCGATTTTATCCTATCGTTTTTTCCTAAATCTCTGTAAAGGCTTTGTCACAATTTATATTTGCACTCCAAAAACAGTAATTTCTTTTGGTTCGTTAATCCAATGCCGATTTCCTCCAAGGCTTTGGATAATATCCAAAATTCTGACCGTTAATATGTTGATTCACACCCACGGGAGGAAAATTTGCCTTCCGAACGTCGATAAATTGTGCCGTACTGGGAAAGTTCGGTTTGTGTTAGACCCATCATCCTTCATTTTACTGTTATGTGCTTGTCTTCGACTAAACTGCTCAAACTTAGTAGGGATATTGCCAATTTTGTAGTATAAACTTTCCCTTTCATTTTTATTTTATTTTTATTATAAATTGAATTAAAGTTTATTAGAAATTGGTATGTTACTGAAGGAAAATTTAATTAAGAGATTTTGCAAAATAAAAAAAATAATGGACGGATCTTGGTTTGGTATGGATGATGAAACAAATTCAATTGTCACTGCCAAGCTTTCGGCCTATTTTAAGATCATCATCAGGGCAAAAGAATCCGACATATTTATTCAGATATCGTGAGATGCGGTCGACCGCATCTCACGATATCTGAATAACTATCGATTAACGGTCACTAATCTCTACACAATCCGACATATGTTTACACATCGATATAATTAAGTTTTTAATGGAAGGTTGGAAGGAATATTTGTAATACGGACTTTAGATAAATAAACTGCTCAAAGATGAAAAGGAATATTGCCAATGTTGTAGTATTTACTTTCACTCGCATTTTTATTTTATTTATATTATAAATTGCATTAAAATTTGTTAGAAATTATTAAGTTTTTTACTGAAGGAAAATTTAATCAAGGGATTTTGAAAAATAACAAAATAAAAGGTTTTATTTCCATAATAGTTTATTTGACACAATATTTTTTTTTAAACAATTAATACCGTTCATAATGTCCTCTGTTAGCAAAACCTCTGTGCACCTGTTAAGCATATTCTCAATGAGGTTTTCACTAATTTCGTAAGGAATTTCACTCCATAGATGCTACATCGTTGCATTCAGTTTTTGCAAGTCAACTGGTTGCAACATGGGAATTGAGATCTGGAAACAATGGGTGAATGGGCAGATGGGAAATTCCCAGATTGTCTAAACACTGATGAACAACTCTGTCTCTATGTCTGACATTGTCAGCCAGAAATCAAAAATCCCTGCCAATGAGATTCCAGGTTAGAGGGATGTATTCCTTGTGTATGTATTCATCGGACTGCTGTGAGGTTGCCTTCAACAATATGAAGTCCAGTTCGTCCTCCAGTGTAAATCCCAGACCCGACCATTACACCGCCTCCTCCAAACTGCACTGAATGGGGCACGAACTGGGGCATCGAACGCATCCCCTGTTCTCGGCAGATTTCGGAGCCTGCTATCACTATACAGGCAGAAAAGCGACTCATCAGTAAGCATAAAAGCATTCGAATTGGTGTTATCTTCTAGGCACTCACTGCACCATATTCTCCTGAGTTGCTATGAACGCTGCACTCAGTTGTTGCAGGTAAACTGGCTGCGGATGGTGATCGAAAAGCATCCGACATGTGTTCAATGGGATTGAGGTCTGGAGACAATGGGGGAACAGGCAGATTGGAAATTCCCAGTTTTCCTGAACATTGATGAACAACTTTCCCTCTAACAGGTCTGGCATTGTCAGCCAGAAATCAAAAATCCCTCACAATGTGATCCCTCGTTTGAGGGATATATTCCTCGATAATTCCTCCAACAAAACGGACTGCGATGTGGTTGCCTTCAGTAATATGGAGTTCAGTTCGTTCTCCAGTGTAAATCCCAGCTCAGACCATTTCATCGCCTCCGTCAAACTGCACTGAAAGGAGCACGAACTGGGCATAGTACGCATCGCCTGCTCTCGGTAGAATCTTCGGCGCCTTCTATCACTACACAGACAGAAAAGCGATTCATCAGTAAACATAACAATATTCCAATTGGTGCTCACAATTGGATTAAAATGGAGAAAAGGTGTTTGTTTACAAAATGAGTAATCTTCATGTTTACTATTCTTAAGTAAATCCGTTATTAAATATGAGCATTTGTTTGTTTTTGGTGTATTTTCTATTTTGTTTTATCCAACTAACAAGAATATATCGGTTAATTTAATTAAAATTAATAGAATAAGAAGAAATTACAAAATCCCTATTCGTTTTTGAGCAGTTTATTTAGATTTAAAGGTTATCGTTTCTTTCCAATCGACTTCCCAACGTAACTGATCTTCGAGACCAGTTCTCAGTTAATAATAATTGTTAATAAAGTGTTTTAACAATAATTATATTTTTTTGCTTGAACTAATTGTCTACATTATAGATATAAAAGACAGCCAAAATAGCGAGTATTTAAACAAGGATAAAATACTTTAAATGTAAGAAACCATGTGGTGTGAAGAGATGAGGAAAAAGCCAAATCAAATTGAATTTTCACTAAGGTCAAAGGAGGACTAGATCATCGTCTTTAAATATAACTATAGTCACATATTTGACCAAAGGTTAAAAGGTGTTAATTGACCCAGCAACAGATTGAAGTCGTCGAAGCGATGGGAACAAAAGCGATTGCTAAACTAAAGTTCTTCGGTCATTTCAGGTCACCGGACCCTCTTGGCTATGTCGATCGTGTAGCTCTTCGGCCCGAAATACTCCCCCCTCCAAATATTACTGTTAGAGTTTTTGAGAAATTTATACGGCCAGGTTCCTGGACAACTGGAACGATAGTGCCGGTATGAATTCCATTCTAAGCATAGAACTTTTTGCGACCTAACAAAGTCCTACAAAAATGCTTAATGAGTCGAAATCCTGGTGGCTCAACACCTCATGGATAGACATATGTACCGGATAGGTGCAATGGCATAAGATTACATTTTGTGTTCACGTGAAGGTCTACCAAGCAATAAATTTCTCCTGCTATGTGGGGAAAACTGCAAGTAGTTTTATACACAGAGGTCTGGCTATGAAATTTAATTAAAAGCCTAAAGCTGATCTTTTATACCTATCTCCCTAGCAAAACTGGGAAATCCTCTTTCGAGTGTAATTCTTTGATGTTATCCCAGCCATCTGGCAATACCAATGAGCAATGTTGGGGAAAAATCTATCTAATTAACAAGTAACAATTACGACTAAATTAGTTAATTATGCCTGCATCTAGTAACTAACAATTTAGTTGTTTGTTGTTGGCGCAATTAAATTTTTTGAACTGCATTGGTTTTTTTGACGGATTTAATTGAGACGGATTTAAAACTTAGTTGAAACTGTACTCTAACAACTAAATTAATTGAACATGTAGTTGTTACCAACTATCAACTAATAGACATTAGTTAACAGAGTTATTCAATCAAAAAAGTAATTAACTACGACAACCTTTCGGAGGAGAATGGTCATAACCTTCGCCAATCCGCATAATGGGGAAGAAAGAGAACAGTGACGTAATTTGCAAAAAAAGGGATCTTAACCCTTTTAAAATCCCACGGAGGTGGAGGAAGAGTACATTGACATCACAGGACAATAAAAGGGGCCACAACTATCGTCAAACCCTGGGGGAAGTAAAAAACCAATGACGTCACTTGCCAATAAAAGGGGTCACGAACAACGCCAAACCCCCATGGTGGGGGAAAAGAGAACAGTGACGTCACTTGTAAAAAAGGGATTACAACCATCGTCAAACACTATGGTGGGGGAAAAAGAGAACAGTTACGTCATCGGGCAAAAAAAGGGGTCAAAACCATCGCCGAACACAATGGTGGTGGAAGAAACCAGTGATGTCACTTGGCAAAAAAGTTTGGGTCACAAACATCGCAAAACCCCATGGGGGTGGAGTAGTAGCGTTCCAAATAGAACTTGACCGCTGCTCTTCAACTTTCTTTGCATTCATTATCAATGCTGGATCGACTATTTCATTATATAAATAGTCAGAAGCCATAGCAATAAAAAACTTGCACACTATAAAGAATTTCAAACACCACTGAAGGTGGAGCAATAGCAGGTACTTTATTGTTCATACCAGAACATTAATAAAAAAAATAAAAAAACAACAAACGTGAAAAAAGTAATCTGGAAACATTTTTAGTCGATACTACGATAAAGTGGAAAAAGAAAAAGAAAGAAAATGACCCAAAACAATTTTCACACAGTACGTCCAGTTTATGACCACCTCGCCTGATTTAGTATTGATCTTTAACTTGAAGGTTTCTTCTTGTTCTACTTTATAATTTTTGACTGCTTTCTACATCAGATCAAGTTAAAGTGCTGCATTATTGACAAAACAATATTGTACGAACAATAAGAAAACCACACTTTTTGAAATCATTATTTACATTAAAGTTGGTCAGTCTGCCAGTAGATGAAATCATGCTGAACCGATTGAACTAAGGGCGAGAAGCCCAAACGCTAATATCAGTTCATTGATACTGTTAGACATTATTTATTTAGTGCAGAAATAATTCCTCGTTAAGCCACACATCCTTGGCAACATTCGAGCAAAATGTTAAATTTCCATAGTTTATCATTATTTTTTCTCGATGACTCAGAGTTGCTTGAATAACTTACTTCGTAATACCGCATTTTCGTAGCACGAGCTGGTAATTTGATTTTTGTTTTTTTCTCCATGGAATATGGTTACAAGATTTTACAAATTAACACGCACGCGCGCGCGCGCACACACACACACACGCACACGCACACGCACGCACACACACACACACACACACACACACACACACACACACACACACACACACACACACACACACTTTAAGACTTATATCCATAGTTCGCCTTTCATTTGCATTATGTTCAATTTGCAAAACGATTCGTCAAACGTTTGGTTAAAATAATACAACAGACTTTTCTTCTTATCATTTCAGGGAAGGTCGATGAGAAAGCGACGCAGTTACATGCGATCGCCTCTCTCAAAGTGCTGTTGGACGCGACCGCGCCTCACAAGGGATCGGCGACAGCCAGTTCGGCAAATCATCTCAAAGAAACCACCCTCGTTTCTAGGCCTCAAATCGAACCAAATGGGATAGCAGTTCAGTCTACTTCAGTAAGTGCATTGTCCTATTTACTTATTTCAACCAAATTTAAGAAATTTTAAGATCTGCAAAAAAAAAGTAAACTGCATTAATTTGAGGTTGAAAATGAATTAATTCTCTTCATCTCTTACAACCGAAGGCTTCTCGCTTTTCTTGAGAAACGTCCTCTTCACATTCGCTTGCAACGTGCAGGCGTAAATGGGTAAAAACTCGTGAGGACATACAGGATACGTGACCATAAATTTCGATGAGCCGTTACCTCTCTCACATCTCCCTAGAGCATTCATTCCGGTGGATATCAAGAAGGTCATTCGCAGTGTACATCAAAAAAAGTCTTGGTAACGAAACCATCATCTCGAAAATCCTTCTTTAACTTCACAGGAAAGCGATATTTCTTATCACTAATCACAACTCTCATCAAACGCCAAGGTGATGGAAGGACGATAGCAGTGACGTAACCTGGTAGAATGATTCCGAGACTAATTGAAAACTCGTTGATACCCTAAGTCTACTTTATTCTACAATAATTATGCTAGTTATAATCAAGTCCTTTGATAAGCAGCTACCTATATTTAGTAGATCTCGGCAAAAGGGGGTACGTTGGATAGCGTTCGCTATAAAATTTAACATGCAATTTTGCCGCAACCTCTGCCTAAGACAAGCACTCACCAATTACTCCTGCAAACAGGACGACCTTCCACATGGCATGAATCGTATAGTAATCTGCTCCATTGACTGCCCTACGTCTACTGTCTCCTTTTGTTTCCGTTCACCTCGGCCCGAGGCCGGGTTTGCTAACACAGCACCGAGCCTCCCTTTTGCCGACACCATTACTTCTCCTACGAACAAAATTCAATTCAATCCAAATTTCAATTTAAAATGCCCTTCACCGTTACAGGGACGGGTCACAACTCTCGTCAAACGTGGTGGTGGACGGAAAAACCGTGACGTCATATGGCGAAAATAATGGGGAGGAGTCACATCTCTCGTCAAAAGCCATGGTGGTGGAAGTAGTTGCCGTCACAAGACAAAAAAGACTCACAACACTCGTCATAGCCCATGGTGCTAGAAGGAAAAAAACAGTGACGTCATATGGCAAAAAAGGGGTCACAGCCCTCGTCAAACCTAGTAGTGGAGGAAGGAAGGGAGCGGTGACGTCACATGATAAAAAAGGAAGTCATAACTTGTCAGCTCCATGGTAGTGAAAGGAAGAGAACAGTGACATCACTTAGCAAAAAAGGGGTCACAACCTTCGTCCAAACCCCATAGTAGCAGAAATTTTCCTAGTCTAATTTTTCTTCCTAGCTTTAGCAACAAGCCAAAATTTATTCGTGAGTAGAGTTCCTGACAGAACTTGACTGCTTGTCTATAACTTATAACTGGATCAACTATTTCATTAGCTAAATAGTTAGAAGCCATAGCATTAAAACAAAAAATAAATAAAATAACCTTTAAACGCTAAAAATTTTCAAACACCACTGAAAAAGAAGGAATATCAGTTAATTTATTGTTAATACTGGAATTATAATAAAATAACAACAAATGTCAAAGAAAAATAAGTAATCTGGAAACATTTTGTCAATGCGAGGATTAAATTGAAAAAGGGTAAGATGGGAAATGATCCAAAATAATTTTCACATAGTAAGTCCAGTTTATGTACACATGGTTTGATTTATTATTGATCCTTTCCTTGAAGCTTTCTTCAAGTTCTGCTTTAAAATATTTAGATTGCTTTGAATATAAACAGTTAATTCATTAATATTAGTTTAACGTTGCTTGTAAGTCTGGCCTGAGGGCGTAAGACCAAAACTTTTGCAACACTCACAAGTCTTGCGGGTTTAGTGTACCGGGTGCCCCGTTTAAAACATCTAGCAAATATCTCTTCACAATCCTCGTCGATCTTAATATCTCATCTGTCAATCTTTCCCCGATCCTGAAGAAATTTCCACTCCAAATTCGCCAACAATCGCAACGTTTAAATCACTCTTCTCAATAATACTCAGTGGCGATTGAGACGTTCGTTTGGATGAATGTCACGGTGAAATTACGCATTATTGACTTTACTATATTAAAATATTCGCAGTATTATTTAAGAATTTTTTAATTTTATTAACTTTTTCAATAACCCAAGAAAAGCAAATAAAGGTTGGAACTCGGCAGCATTTTAATCCTGATTCAGTTGAGATGTTCGCCCCGTTTTCTCTCGTGTCTGTCCGATATCACCTGACTATCAAGGGACACGGAAAACTTATCGATACTTTACTGGCATCCGTGTTTGTCCTTTCGATAGTACTTTTACCAGTACGAGAATTTTTGGGGTGTATTGGAAGGAGGTATCGACTTTTTTAAAGGCCGATATTTACAGGACCTGCTGACCTATATGATGCTTTATAAGGTTTTAAAATAAATAATGGTTGATCAATTAATTAAACAATGGTGGATCAATTATCACTTGCATATCACACCAATGAAAAATTCCGTGAACATTTTTAATTTGTTATTATATGGTTGATAGAACATATTAAAAAAAAATTTACTCGTTGTTTCCAGAATAAAAAAACTTAATTCGCCTCAGAACTCTGTTTTGTCCTTGCTAAAAGTATAGCTATATAGCTTAAAATAAATTAGAGAAACAAGCGTTAGACACGTTTTACTTTTTTATTTCCATTATTTAAAAAAATGGGGTGGAAATATTGTCACCATATAAAATATATACTACTCAGTTTAACATTAAAAGAAATTTAAAATATTTTTTAAAAAATCGATAGGGAATAAAAGGGATGGCAATGTAAGCCTGCCCGTGAAGAGGCCAAAGAAATCGCATTGTCTGAAAAACTAGTTAGGGAAATGATGGACGAAGTCTGAAGGGTTGGCTTATCGTGGATAAAAATGGGACATGGTGGGAATTAAAAGGCTGATGGATTAGCAAGAGAGATCGATATAAGGGGCTTGCTTGAAGAAATAAGAAGAAAACTGGTCCAAAACGGCAAAGGGTGAAGGGACAAAGGCGTTCTTTCCAATCGTCTAAAACGTGAAACGCAGTTTCAAGACCACCGTGCATTTCACCTATAACAGAAGGCTTAGGTTGGTCGACGATCGATACTTTTTTTTACACTAGTTATGAGGTTATGAGCATGGAATTCAATATTTTCTATTACTAGAAGCTAATACGATATCGATTCCTTTTTTATACTAGTGAGAGTATGGTATCGATACCCTTTCTAAATTGTAATTAGTGTGGTACCGATGCTTTTTTATATTAGTAATGAATATAGTATCCAATCTTTTTAATAATAGTAATTAGTATGGTATCCATACTTTTTATACTAATACTTAGTATGGTATAGGACCTTTTTAACAGTATTGTTTTTTATTTGTGATAAGTATAGTATCGATACTTTTTTTAAATACTACTAAGCAGTATGTTATCGATACTTTTAATCACTAGTATTTAGCATAGTATTGATACTTTTTTAAATACTGGTAGTAAATAGGATAGTATCAATTCCTTTTTTCATGCTAGTAATTAGGTTGTTATCAATACTTTTTATATAGTAATTCGTATATATTCGATCTTCCTACACTAGTATTTACTATAGTGCGAACACGTTTTTTTATACTACTAATAATTACAGTATTGATATTATTTTATACTAGTAATTATTAGGTTTCCATGCTTTTTATACTAGTAGTTTGTACAGTATCGCAACGGTTATTTTATCCCAGTGATAAGTACAGTATCGATGCCGTTTCTATACTAATATTTATCAGTTAATTAAGATTTTTAGTTGAGATAAAAAAGTCAGCGTCACGAGCGGGATTCGAACCCACGTCGGCTAGATACGCCGCTACTCTACCACTTGAGCTATGACTTCGGTCCACTCGGACGCTAACTTCCCATCTCAACCCCACCTTTTGAATTTTCCCTCCTTTTTGCCATTTTTTTAATGTTATGTAATCTATTTGATTCTTGATTTTGATTTGATGAGTTTGATTTTTTATTCAAGCGGACCACGAAAACTAGTGGAACTAATTAGTGTGATATTGATAATTTTTATACTAGTACTTAGTGTTATATCGAAGCTTTTTTTAAATACTAGTAATTATTATTTTATCGCAACCTTTTTTAAACAAGTGATAAATATCGATGACGTTTTTAAATTAGTAACGTAATTAGTGTGGTATCGATACTTTTTATACTGGTAACTAGTATGGTATCGATAGTGATTGTGTTAGTTATGAGTATGTAATCGACACTTTTTCGTACTAGAAATGAGTATGGTATAGATCTTTTTTCAATACTAGTAATGATTATATCGATACTACGTTAATAGTAGTAATTAGTATGATATTCATGTTTTTGTAATAGTCCTTTTTGTTACATCGACACTTTTTTATTGCTATTACTTAGGATGGTTTTCATGATTTTTTAATACTAGTAATTATTATGTTATGGATACCTTTTTTATACAAGTGATAAATATCGATTGCGTTTTTAAACTAGTATTATGATTAGTGTGGTGTCGATACGTTTTTTACTGGTAACTAGTATGGTATCCATACCCTTTTCGTCCTAGTTATAAATATGTAATCGACACTTTTTTCGTAGTAGAAATGAATATGGTATAGATTCTTTTTAAATACTAGTAATGATTATATTATTGATATTACTTTAATAGTAGTAATTAGTATGGTATTCATGTTTTTATACTAGCACTTAGTATAATATCGATACTTGTTTAATACTAATAATTAGTATGGTTTTCATAATTTTTTTATACTAGTAATTACTATGTTATCGATACCTTTTTTATATTGGTAATGATGATATCGATACTTTTTTATACAAATAATTAGTACACTATTGTTATTTCTTTCATACTCATAATGAGTTGATACTTTTTCTAATACTAGTGTGGTATCGATATCGTTGTTTATAGCAGTATCGATACTTTGATTCCCTACTACACATCCTGTGAACAACCTTCCGCAACCCTCACTCCGGCGGTAGCTATTCAACTATTTGCCGCTAAGTCTTCGTGGCACGGCTGCTAGTTTTGAAGAAGAAAAAAATTAAAATCAATTTCAACGCAATATTATTTTATAAAATGTTGTAGAGAATTGCAATTCATGTAATTCATTCCATTGCAACGCACCGTGTAATAAAATGATCTAAGGTTAAAAACAATTAATACTGAGAAAGAGCCAAGTCGAAATGTTGAAAAGGTGCGCACAGCCGCGCCGTCGCCGAATGCGTCGATACTGCCCTACTTCAAATGTTGGGACCTGTTTCTATGGAAGGGTAACACAAAGCATTAAAATAGAGCTCAGAATGAAATCACACATTTTAATGGGCCGTTATTCTCACACCATTTGTAAAAGTTCCAATCAGATATCCATCACCTTGAAATCCTTGATAAACGGCTGACTGATAATATAGAAAGGTCAATAATGTATCGGTTACAATACATTCCTGTTAAATACAAGAGTTAAACCACCGCGTTATATTTTTACCTGTTATTGTGAAGAGAAAATGTAATAATTAAACGGTGCCGAATATGTACAAAATTAAATATTTTCGAACATTCCTCCGCCATTGTTGATAAATACCTTCGACAGATTTAATTACATCAAACCCCCCTGAACAAAGCACACTTGCACCACATTCAGTAACACTATGAAGTACTTTTGAACCGAAACTTGTGCGAAATCCGACGAACACAAGTTTCAAAATACAAACTCCTGACCAAACTCTACAAAACACATAAACCACCACAAAGCTACCTTTGACTGAGTAACTCCCTTTTCCCTGAATGCAAAAGAAAAAAGAATCAATCCTACAAGTGAAAACTTTGTACATTCAAACAAATTGTTGTTTGTATTTGACAAGAGAAAAATAAAACAAACAGCGGACTTTTACCTCTAGTTAATTTAACGTTACAACTCAAATCAAATTCTGTGTGTTTATTTTAAGTGAGTGCAGTAAAAGCCTAATTAGATTTTTAATTATCCTTGGTGTTTTGATGTGTCTGACGCGTTTCGGCTATTCGCCAAATTCAGTACTGGATTCTTCTTCCATAAATCCAAATAGGCCAAAAATGTATTAATGTCCTCCTAATAGTGAGATTGAGTCTAGTGAAATTCTCCCAGGACAAACGTTATTGAAAAATAGATCCTTATTTGAATCACAAAAGTGCAAAAATAAAGGACAAAAACACACAATAAACGGGTCATCAATCGGCCCAAAATATTAACTGAGACAATAGACAAAACAGGAATCTTTATAGAAAGAAAAAAAACGAGAAAACTGAAATCAAACCAATTTATAGAAATGATAAATGGTGGAGTGAATGTGTTGTTCAATCGTTTTAAAAAGGTAGTTGCTACTCAAAGTTAGTTGTTTTCAAAGTTCCGGATTTCAACCTGATGATGAGCTGTAAGCTTGAAATCCGGATCGTTGAAAACAACTAACTGAGAGTAGGAACTATCTTCCCAGGAACTGTGCGACATACTGGTTCGACAAGCTAAATACAAAAAGCAAAAAGATCACTTTTTCATTTTTTCAAGGAAAAACATTTCAATTCAAGGGTAAGTAACATTATCCGTCCATAACCCCAACCCAACGTAACATACCCTAACCCTAACGCTAATCCTAACCTTAGCCAACATAATCTAATCCAGCTCAAACTCTAACGAACCTAATTCTAACTCTAACCCTAATCCTAAACTTATCTAACAGTTTAAACCGTCCCTAAACCTACCGTTAGCCAAACCTAATCAGTCTCTAACACCAATTCTAACGCCAACCTAATCTAAATCTTCCCTAATCGTAATCCCAATTTAACCAGTTCCTAAACGTAACCCTAACCCTACTTAGCCTAACTTAATCCTACTAAACCTAACCTAACCCGTTCTAAATCTACGCCTACCGCTAACCTAACCTAAACCTTCCCTAGCCGTAACTCCAATTTAACCCCTTCCTAAACATAACCCTAACCCTGCTTACCCTAACTTAATTCGATTAAATCTAACCTAACCAGTTCTAAATCTAACCTGACTTAATGTTTCTTAACCATCAGCCTAAACCTACAAAGCCTAATCTAACCCGTTCCTAACTTGACAATAACCCTAACCTACCTCTACGGAAGGTAACCCTTCTTAACTCAAACCCTAATGCTAACCTAACCTGATTCATCCCTAGCTCTAATCCCAACGAAACTTACCCCAACCCGTCCTAAACCCAAACCCTTAGCTGACCCGTTCCTATCCCTGGTAACCTAACATAAACGTTCCTTAACTATAACCACAATTCTGACCTAACATAACCCTTCCCTAACTCTAACCTGTTCCTAAACTTAACCCTAACCCTGCTTAAGTTTACCTAATCCGGCCATAACACTGACCCTAATTTAACCTAAGTACGTGCACTCTCTGATAACGTGAAATCGATGACCCGAATATGGGCATGCAAACAAAATTTGTTTATCCAGTCTAATAAAACCATTTTCTTGTTAATAAGCAACCAGCTTTCGGATATTCAGGGTTGTGACCAAGAGACGCTAAACTTCATCGTGGAAACAGACCAGTTTACGCTAAAACCATTTTCTTTGTTCATTTTGACTCTTCCAGTTCTTGAGTGGCAACGGGAACTACTTGCAGATTTCGCCTTTCGGCCTCAGCAGTTTGAGGATCAAATATGGAAAAACGCAGAGAGCCGCTAAAGCAAATCTTCCCGGGTTTGCCACAGCAAAATCAATTAATAAGAAAAGAAAATATACGAAGGTTGTAGAGAAAACGAGAAGAGTAGCAAAGATTGTGCGAGGTACACGAAAGTTGTGATAGTACTAAGGAATTCGTTCTTTTTCGCTCCCATTGATCTATCTGTTTTTTGTTTTTTTTAATATTCGTTAGATATGTGTCTTATCTATTTATCTGTCGAAAAGAAAAATACACTTGCATAAGAGAAAAACACCCGTTTGCCTTTAATTAAAATTTGTATTTTATTAAGTCCCTTCCTCCTTCTAATTGCTTTCAGCCAGGAAATAGATGGGAACTTCAGTCATAAACTACAAATTTGGCCTCTTGAAATAACTTTATAGTATACTCGTTATAAACGGGTCTCCTTCAGAGGGGAAAGGAACAAGAATAAAAAAAGACTCTCTGCATACTTTAAATCAAGTCCAGAGAAAAAAAATGAAACTAATATAAAACTTTACACACCGCCGGTGGACCTTGTGGATTCTGTTTTAATTGGCCGTTGTTTTCTGAGAAAACTATATTCTTGATAATCTTGTACGGCACATTTTACTTCAAATTTTTTTGCGTAACTTCTTGTAACTTCTAACTTCGATCCGATCGCGATTAAAATTCTCTTCTTCTTGCTCGCCACAAGTCTCAAGTTGTCCAGATTGATGAATAAAGGGTCGCCGGATAAAGGCTAGTCGTAATCTTATATTTGAATGAACCGGGAGTAAATCACCGATCTGCACGCTAAAAGTTAATCAGGTACAAACGGACACAACGGCGGGACAACTGGTCACGAATTTTAAAACTTCAACCCTTCCTCCTCTATCCTATCTCGGGGCCAGTTACACCCTCAGATGGTTATACTAGAAAAAAAACCACTTTATTTTCATAAAATGATAATTTGTCTTATGAAACTAAATAATAGGCTAATATATATTGAGTTTTTTATCCTAATATGAGATGTAATAGTCGGACGCCAGACCGCCTAACTTTAACTGTACATATAATTCTATTCGTAAATAATTTGAGTATTTTGTTGTTTTTTTATCGAAATATTTTATTCCAGGTAGAAGATGACGCACCAGAACCTTTAGACATGGGCTGGCCGGATTCTGCCAGGAAAAGAATCACCTATCTTTTGGTTGCGCCTATAGTCTTCCCTCTATGGCTGACGTTGCCAGACGCAAGAAGCCCATCGGGTAAATTATTGCATTAATTAATGAACTATTGTAATTTCAGTGTTTTTAATCTTGTACTTTCCCTGCTCCGGTTATTGTCGGTTTTAACAGCTAATATGTAAGAGTTGATTTATTTGAGGAAAACGCAAAAGAGTCAACCCTTGGCAAGATCAGAATTGTTCAGGCTCAACGGAGAAAAGTAAGCTAATACCAAGCTCATAATCGAGAGAAGAAAAACTAAACTAAAAAAATTCACTGTAGAAAATAATTCACTAGCTTGATAGCCTATTAAAATAGAATAAAATAAACCATAAGAAAAATTTTATTAACAAGCCCCGAACAAAAAAAAACATATTTAATAAAATAAGATATTAATTTAAAACTTTGATGAATTAGTAGGAAAAAAATCACTGAAGCCATGTTGAAATTCGTAGCGACTTAGCAACATAGATAAAACGAATATTTTAACAAGATACAAAGATAATATCCGTTTTCCGAACCCAAAATACCCCTGAATACAAATTTTTGGGTAAATTAAAAAAAAATTTCACCTTCTTGCCTCCAATTTTTTTCGATAATCATAAAAATTATTATAACTTTGAAACAACTTCACTGAGTTACACGAAACTCTAAAGGGGTTTAGAGCCCCATAATCTACACTTAATGGGATAAACTTGGTCTCCGTGAATAAATTAGAACAAGAGATGTAAAATAAAACGTTCAGGATTTTTTTTTATGATTTAATCGTTATTTTACATACTTAGAACCGAAAGACAAGACACCGGAGAAAAAAAATACCTGGGCTAATCCAGGCCAAAAGGGTATATTTTTTGTTTTCCATAAAGATTGATCTTTAAGAGTTTTAAAGGGTGCTTAAAACGAATACGAATTGTTCTGTTTTTTAAATACCAAATATACTTTTTGGGGAAAATCAAAAAATAATTGTTTTCACAAATTTTTCGTCTCCCAAATGCTTTCGATTTTTTTTTAAATCTCAAAAATGGTGATTACTTTAAAATAACTTCACTAACCCATACTTTTAGACTCTTTATGTGGAGCACTGGACATGGGAACAAATTGACCCCAGAAAAGCCAACTCAAATATTTTAATTTTTTCTTTGCAATAAAAAATCATATTTAATGACTTTGAAGGGTACTTAAAACGAATCCAAATTTTTCGAAAAGATTTTTACCTACTATAATAAAAGAAGCGCTTTTTGGTTTCTGTCTAATCTAATATTATTTAATACTATCCACTATATTATTTTCTTATTTTTGGTTTAGAAAAATGATATATAATAGCATGAGAATATATGTAATAACGATCGAAGAAAATTATATAATTAAGAAAGTGTAAAAAAATTCAAAACAAAAGTTTTCCGTTCCAAAAGTTGCAGATTATTTTTCTAAATTCACAAAAATAATAATAACTTTCAAAATCTCGACTGTTCCACAGGAAAGATTACGTATGTTTAGAAATCTATAAACTACACGTTATACATGTAAGAGCATAACCTTGGTTCCTGTAAATATGATAGTATCAGCTATATAAAATGAAACGTTGGGTAGTTTTTGATGATTTCATCATCATTTTTCTTACTTATATTGCCATAAAACACTGTAGTCTGAAAGAAGAACAATTCATTGTATACAAAGGTTGTAATAACGTGTACTTTGAATAAAATCCAGAATAGTAATAGAATTTTTAAGTGGAGCAATAAGAATCGGAGAAAAATAATTGACCCCGATCTAATCCAACCCCGGAAAATAGACTAAAATATACATTTTTTACATGAAATAAAATTGATATTCGTTTTCTGCACTCTAAAGATATCACTTAATATAAATTTTTGACAGAATCAAAACAAAATTCCATTATAATTTTCTTCTTCCAAATGCCGCCGATTTTTTTTTCTCGAAATTCACAAAAATATAAATCTATAAATTTCATGTGGTCTCTGAAAATAAATTAGAACGGGGGCCATAAAATAAAACATTTGGGGAGATTGGGAATTTCAACATCATTTTTCATACTTATAATGACATAAAAACTTTGTTGGCACAAGCTTTCTAACAGTTGTAAATATGTTGAATTTGGATAAACCTAGAGGAATTATGAATTTTCAAGTGGAACAGCTGTTTTTTAAAGATTTTTTGCCTACCTAGCTTTTCCTAATTTTTTAGATTAATTTGTTAATATGTTGATAAAATCCTGACGAGTGAATTTTTATGTAAACTGCTCAAAAATTAATCGGGATATTTGTAATTTATTATTATTCTATTAATTTTAATTAAATAGAACAATAGAAAACAATAGATAAAAACAAAATAGAAAATAGAAACCAAAACCAATGTTCATCTTCATTTTTAATAACCGATTTAAGAAGAAGAATAGTAAACATGAAGATTACTCATTTTGTAAACTAACACCTATTCTCGCCTTTTCTCCATTTTAATCCAATTGTATTCTCTTTACCCATGGAAAGACATCATCTTGAACCGAAGTTCTCAATAGTGAGAATGAGTCATCGAGGTCACCGGGAAGTGGATATCTTAGAGGCAGTTGGCGTTTCTCAGAGCGTAGTCTTCCGAGAGGCTGGAAGTGCCAATAGGAGGCCTGGTCTCAGCGCATTACAAACCTAAGGGAGGACAGATATATTGTCTCTGCTGCAAGAAGGAACCTTTTGCACAGTGCCCGCCAGATCCTAAATGAAGTACAAGATGTTTTGGCAAGGTCTTTATCAACACAAACGATTACGAATCGCTGGCCTAACATCGTATGCTCCTTTGGGACGACCTGCGGTTACCAGCAACTCAGGAGAATATGGTGCAGTGAGTGCCTAGAAGATAACACCAATTCGAATGCTTTTACGCTTACTGATGAGTCGCTTTTCTGCCTGTATAGTGATAGCAGGCTCCGAAATCTGCCGAGAATAGGGGATGGATGCGTTCAATGCCCCAGTTCGTGCCCCATTCAGTGCAGTTTGGAGGGGGCGGTGTAATGGTCGGGTCTGGGATTTACACTGGAGGACGAACTGGACTTCATATTGTTGAAGGCAACCTCACAGCAGTCCGATGAATACATACACAAGGAATACATCCCTCTAACCTGGAATCTCATTGGCAGGGATTTTTGAATTCTGGCTGATAATGTCAGACATAGAGACAGTTGTTCAACAGTGTTTAGACAACCTGGGAATTTCCCATCTGCCCCTTCACACATTGTTTCCAGATCTCAATTCCCATGAGCACGTATCGGATGCGTTGCAGAGGTTTTTCCATTACCATCCGCAACCAGTTGACTTGCAAAAACTGAGTGCAACGATGCAACATCTATGGAGTGAATTGCCTTAGGAAAATAGTGACAACCTTGTTAAAAGTATGCCTAACAGGTGCACAGAGGTTTTAACTAACGGACATAATACAGGGTATTAATTGTTTAAAAAAATTACTTTATCCAATAAACAAAATTATGGAATTATTTCATCAAAATCCCTTAATCAAATTTTTCTTCAGTAAGAAATATAATAATTTCTAATAAGTTTTAATGTAATTTATAATAAAAATAAAATAAAAATGCTAGGGAAAGTAAATACAACACAATTGGCAATATCTCTATTCATTTTTGAGCAGTTTAGAACAACTGACATCAAAGAAGAGACATGACATGGATAATTCAGCCCAAATATTTTTTATTTTTTGTCTGCTATATAAAATCGTATTTGAGGGCTTTGAATGGTACTTAAAACGAATCCGAATTGTTTTTTGTTTTTCAAAAGATCTTGTGTATATGTGTGTGTGTGTGTGTGTGTGTCTTACTTTACTGAGAGTGTATTTATTTTACCTTTGTAAAATACCTTATTGTATTTAGTACGAACATGTATTTCATTTTCTGATCGTAAGTAAAAACCCAAATCGACTGATGCATAATAACCTTTAAATACGTAATAAAAGTTTAAATTACTTTTTTTCTTGAATCCTCGTGCCCATTAGCAAGATGCATAGACAAGTCCAATATGTTTTCGACTATATATTACCAATGAAATACTTCAATCGCGATTGCGTAACTTGATGAAAGCCAATCCTTATATCACGATTCGGAACACCGATGTTATCGAAATCGAAATATTAAAAGTCTTATATCAACTTGGCCCATGGAATGAAATCGATGAGGTAAACCAAAACGGAACCTTGGCCTAGTTGGCCACTCCATGCGTGTCCTGAGCAAACCCGCTGTCTTTCTTTTGTAATACAATCTAAATTTAATAAAGTCAGAATATCACTATCTAATTACGTGTTCAAACAACAAGAATTGGATTTTTATTGTTAAAATTTAAAAAAAATATATCAACGATGAAGCGACCTTTATAACAAAACCATTTCACTTTCGTAGACAATAAAATTAATTAATAGAACTAGCCTAGCCTATAAAGAAGATAAGATCATCTAATTATTCTAGAATTAATCCTAATCCGCCGTTTAATTTTGTCAACCGAAACGTTCGAGCCATATCGTCAGATTTTCTCCATATGACCATTCATAGGTGTTATATATATTTTTTTTTTGGCCAAACAATGCCATGCCGTAACCCATTATCAGATAACACGCCATTTCGTCATCCGTCCTTTCGCATTTGACCTCACAGATTCGTGAGACATGATTTGTATTTGTAATTGGTACTGTGAAAGGCAAAACAGATGCACATCACAATAAATTGCCTTTCCCTTCAAAATACCGAATGTAGCATTTACTATTAATCTATTTGGAGGAAATACGAGAGAAAGTTATAATTCTATTATAATAAGTTAATAAGTTCGTGGACTGAATTACTTTAAATGTTCCACTTTAATTCAATTTTTTCTGTTTTAAGTTGCGTCTGAGTTGCTGTATTATTTTTTTTTTTTTTTTTGCAAAAGGTTCTTAATCAACCTGTGCTGTTTTTTTCCTTTAGCCGGTAGAATTTTGCCACAGCTGTAGAGACAAGGACCGTATCACTCGAAGGACCCAAATATCCGTCGAAGACCAAAACATCACGTTCCCCTGGAACCTAATGCATTTTAAACCACGACGGTGAAGAACATACGATTAACTGACGCTAATGCTCATTTCTATCCAGCGAAACGGCGGTGTATGGCCCAAACCCGTGGGACCTTGGTTTTCCTCTGGTCACCTCAGGATATCCAGCCTCGTCGGTTGTATGAAAAAGATGACCGCAAAATGACCGTTTATAAAGTCTCAGGCCCTGAAGATGATCTCAATAAAGGTCGAAACCGACAGCACGATAAAGAAAATGTTTTTCTGAAACCTACGTCACACCAGACCGCACCTCACGGTATCCAAATAATCATAAAATGTTAAACTAATATCTTACGTTTCTAAATATATCTATATAATAATTTATATAATTTTTCTCATGGTTTATTTTATTCCATTACAATATTGGATTATTTTCTTCAAAATGCTTCAATTTTTGTCCACTGTACTTTTGTAATTTAATTTTAAAAAAGTACTTCGTGTTATTAGCTTTCTTTTCTCCGTAGAGCCTAAACAATTCTGATCTTGCCAAGGGTAACCATTAACTTCATTTTTTAGATTATTAAGCAAAATAAAATTTAAAAAATTTATGTTTTAATAGGTAAAAAGTGGTTCTTCGTAACTTTCTTTGGAAGCATCGTGTGGATAGCAGCATACTCCTATCTTATGGTATGGTGGGCCAATGTGGCAGGTGATACTATAGGCATCCCACCAGAGGTACGAGCAGATAATTTGTCCATTTATGGCTAGCTTATTCAAAAATGGTTTCTTTTACTTTCAGGTGATGGGACTCACTTTTCTTGCCGCTGGCACATCGATTCCCGATCTGATAACCAGTGTGATTGTAGCGAGAAAAGGGTTCGGCGATATGGCCGTTTCCTCCTCAGTAGGAAGTAATATTTTTGATGTTACAGTTGGGTAGGTATATTTCATCATACTTTATTACAGCAAAATGTGCCTGCAGTATTTGAATATATTCAGTGAACTCATTGTGTAAAAATTGTAAGTGAAAATATAGTTATTGGTTCTATGGTATACAGAGGGCTCAAAGGTAGAAATGGTGCGGGTATAGGGTATAAATTGGCCTAATAATGAACACCTATGGTTCTCAACACCAGCGCTTTCAAGCCGAACTGCTAGCCGTAGAAACATTTGAACATAAAATAAATAATAATCATTTCAAGGGTGTAAAAATAGCTTTCAAGTAGTCAAGTTGCTCCAAAGGCTCTCCTTGAGATCCTCCTCCACCTTAGAGTTCAACTCAAAACATGTCTGGAAGTGCTTAAATGTCCTTAAAAAAGGGGGATCGCCAAAAAGCATAAATCTAATTGCTTAGGGAATTTCAGGCAACTAGGCAGCAGATATATTTGCTAAAAAGAGAGCCTCGACAAAACATATTAAGTCCAAATCATTTCATGACATCAATAGCAGTTGATCGCTGGCATCGTACTTTAAAGGCAGCACTTAAGGCTCACCTATCGTCATCAGACTGAAGCCAGCGTACATGCTATCCGAAGAAGAGCAGACTTCTACAATATCCCTTCCAACGGCAACGCAGCGTAACAATAACATCTCAGCAGACCCTTTGCCAACGCCAACTACCTGTTCTGGTTGCCGAGTGAATCTTCTTGTTCGGTTCCGCGACGACATTATTGGGGGGGGGGGCATAACAGGTCCGGTGGAACGCCGATGGTAAGCCCTCTTCGCACGAAGTGTGAAATATGGAAAAGACCATCCCTAAAAAAAGTTTCAGTACAATCGTTGGATGCCGGGAAGCGGGGCTTGTGTTCCCCAGGCACTGCAGCCTTCTGGCTTATGTACCTCCAGTACAATCGTTAGAATCGTTAGTCCTTTTTGGTTGAGTATTAAGAAGCTCGTCAACACCCAAGGTACCGATGTTGCAACATCCATTCAAAATTAATGTAAGTTGTCTTCATGCTCATTTTTTTGTATAATAGTTTGTTAACACTGAAATAATAAAGGATGTTATTGCATATTTTGTTTTTAATCTTAATCATTGTGATCTTGAATCTGTAGCAATTTAATAATTAGACCCAATATCATAAAAGGACTCCAGGTTTTTCGTCTTTTGTTTTATTTTTCCATTTTGCTCTCCTTTCGATAATAATATTGAATGGGGGGCGTCGGTGGCTGCAAGGTTTAGTCTTTGACACGGCGCTCATCACTGTAAGGCAAAGGTCCCGGGTTCCAATCCAGCGGCCCTGCATTCGAACACGACATACTTACAATTTTTTTTTTTATTATATTGAATGGTTTTTCAATTAGTATTGATACAAATATTTTGGTAGGAGGTATTAAGTAACTGTCAATTTTATAATTACTGTATGTGTTGTTATTTAGTGTGTAATCAAAAAATTTTCTTTCCCGCTAAGTTTTTTAAACTTTATTATAAAGTTATAATTTTATTGATTTTAGCTATTGCTTTAAATGTTCTACCAAGTCTTGAATCATTTTATATCAAAATTTTACCACTTTTTCAAAACAAAAACTCTAAAATTGTTTTGTTTTAGGCTTCCAGTTCCGTGGCTACTGTATGGAATCATCAAAGGAAAACCAGTGTTGGTGAACAGCATGGGAATGGTCTGTTCAATAGCAATACTATTTTTCATGCTCATATTTGTTATAATGTCCATTGCTTGCTTCCATTGGAAAATGAATAAGGGCCTGGGTTTCACCATGTTTTTGCTTTATTTTGCATTTGTTACAGTGTCACTGCTATTCGAATACGATGTGATATCTTGTCCAGTTTAAAATTTGTTATTAGAAAAAAGATGCAAAAAAGAATGTACAAATAATAAAATTCAGTTTGCATAAAATAAGGTACAAATCTGCTTTTAATTTTGTTTTTTTGAGCGGGCTCATTTTGGTCAGAATATGTAGTAGTAATTCATATCACATGATATCAAATGTTTTTATTGCCGTCTGCAAAAATGTTAACGTCACGTATCGAATAACATATTTTGAGACTTGCATATCTTATAAACTTTTTTTTATACCACTGTTCTATGAACACCAAAGATTAGTTTAGTTAAAAGGACAATTAGTTTTCGCTTGAAAAAAAAGTATATAAAATATATATTTCTCAAATAGTTCAGTTGTTATTCTGGTGACAATCCAGTAATGATTTTTACATTGTTTTTCAGTTATTTATATAGGCTTTTAAAAATACAAAAAAATTGTTATTTATAAGATAAAGGTTTTGACTGAATGATGTTGGTTAATCAAATAATAATTGTTAAAGATTTAATGTTGTTAAAAATATGAACTGTATTGTATGTATTTTTAAACAAAGCTAATTCATTGTAATGTTTACGGCTAAGTTTTCTTGAATGCACAAAAATGTTGGCATTTGAAACGAACTGTTCCTAATTGACTTTTAGACTACGAATTAATTTGACATATTGTTAAGATTTTCATTTGTTATATTATTTTCTACAAATGGTATACTAAAGTACGGAATTACAGTTTATTGTTCAAAGTATATCTGCTTCGGAAATTGCATTTTTATTCTTTTTTTTTCCGAAGCAATTCTAGGATATCAACTATGTTCTGAGACAATATAAAGATAAATGTAAAAATCTGTGGACAATATCTTCTACATGAAAGTATATAATTTTGTTTTCATACTAATTTTAAAAACGAGAGGGCAAATTAATTGCTACTTTGCTTAAACCTAAATTAAAATGTCACAACAATAAATATTACGCCTTACACAAAAACAAAACACAAAAAAAAACAAAAAAAAAACAACAACAAACACTACAAAAATTATTTAAAAAATCTTTTAAAAATAGATCTCTGTAGGTAGATTTAGTGTTGGTTATGTACTATATAATCTGATCTATTTTACCTTTTATTAACTAAAGCAGCTGGATAATTAAAATGCATGGATTTAACAATTAAGTATGATTTAGAAATATATAGTATGTAAACAATGGTTAGACATACACATATCTACATACATATCTTGCACTTATTGCGCCATATTCAACCATTTGATTTAAACTAAGTTCATGTAGTTACAACGCAGTTTAAAAATATTGATATTATACTAATAATATTAAAAGGTTTTATGAGTGTGAAACCAATAAATTGTTTTAGAATTTGAAAAAGGCTTGACATCTAGAAATTTATTATTTAAAAATACAAATAAGTATAATTAGAAGATAACACCAAATAGTTAAATCATTAGCTAAAAGTAAGTTTGTTAATCACCCTCGTAAATGTATTGAATCTATCTTTAAACTATTTCGTTATAAAATTGTTGACAAAAGTTTAAACGCATTTTGACAAGTTTTTCGTCGTGTTAGAAATGAGCATTAATATATTAAATCTACATATTAGAATATTATATATTTAAAAAATGAAAGAAACATGAGTGTTTTTTCTTATATTGAAGCGTAGTTTGAAGTTGGGAGGAAAAAAACACCTGAGGAACCAGTGAAATATTCAATATTTCTATAATATGTAGACTTATAGAATGCTAACAAGCACATAACGTTAGAAAAGTTGTATTCATTGAATATTAAAACTTTAAAATAAATCTTGCAATAGCAATGATAGATCAATGAATCAATTTATTCATAAAAGAATATTATTGACTTTTAAATCATACTTTAATGAATCGATTTATTCATAAAAAAATATTATTGACTTTGTGGGAAATAATTCCCTCTGAAATTCACCTTAAAAATTGGGCTAAAAAGAAATATAAGTTAAAAAAATAAATAAATAAAATAAAGGTGAAAAGGGGGTTCTCCATTGTTAATTTGATAATGTTTGTCGACATAATTGCAGTAAATTTGCACTTTTGCAAATCAAAATCACACTTTATTCTTGAATATATTTATATTTTAAGCTTCTATTTCATATACACTAACTTTACTTAATTAATAAAACAGAATTATCATATTATATCTCCTATTATCTCTTGCCTATACAGTTTTTTCTGTACAATTACAAACTAATATGTAATTTTTTGAATAAAAAAAACAATTCTCATGGTTAGGCTTTAATAACTTATATTCTACTCCATTATATAATAATATAAGTTTACAGAAAAGCACTTCTCTATAACAACTAAATGACTTAACTACATAAAACCATCGATTAGTATTTAGAATTCAATTGTAAAATATACGACAAAATTGTCAATTTAAGTAAGACATATAACCCAGTGACATTTAAATTTATGCGAGCATTTTGTCTATAAAATAAAATATTTGGTGCTATTAGTTAGAATAATTTACTTAGCCTTATATAATTTTAAATAATTTCCTGTACTTTTTAAATAATGATCAGTTTCAGTTTTGTGCATTATTTGATTCTGTGGCCGTCCTTCAGCAATTGCTAACAATAGTTAGTTAGTTTTTGTAATAAATAATTTTGTTATTTTTTTAAAATGGTTAATGTTTTACAAATTCATCCTTTAATGTTGGACAAACACATTTTAAAAAAATGTATGCTCATTTTTAACATAGACTACATTTAAAAATAAAAGGCCTTATCTTTCCAATTAATGTATAATTATTATAATATATAAATCGGTAGTCGAAGCCTGTAGCCACTTATACCCTTCTTCTGGCAAAAAAAAATTATTTTTCAAATAAAATTTTAAAAAAGCCAATGTCTTAGGAAGAAAATGTAGATTTAATATATTCATAAATAATAGTATTAAAAAAAAGTTTCACAAGCCGACAATAAGTTAATCAAATAAAAATTCTTCCCAAATTTCCCAGACTAAAATTAAAATGTTAAAAAAAATGTATATGGCAAATAATACAACATTATAATTGTGTGTTAAAAATAAACATATACTTATTTTATAAAATTTAAAAGAAACCAGATTTGATTAAGCTTCAAATGTTTAAAAGGAAAAATAAAGAAACATCGTTTTTGTTTTGTTTTGTTTGCCACTGTAGCACTGTTTATAGAATATAGTATATGGTTAATTTTTTAATATATTTAATTTTTTATTAATTACAAGTTGTCAAGGCATTAATGTACTGTAAAATGCGTGTAAGCATTTTTTGTAGTTAGCTTACTAGCACCAACAGGCTGTGATCACATGCAATGTCCTATCACTATGAAGATATACACTTGCATTGCTTTACTTTGTTTAATTGAATTGTTTTTATTGTATATTTTTATGAAATGATGTTTATGACGACTGCTCGGCTCATACCCATGTGCGATATTTCAATTCAAAATTAGCCTTAAATGTTCTTCCTACTTAATGGGTATGCAAGGTGGGATAACATAATTTCATAACCAGTGAAGAATAATGTAAGTGTATACTACTATAGTGTCATAATTTCTTCCATATTGTTGTTAATTGTTGTTTACGGTAGCTATTGTTTATTATAGTCCAGAATTTTTAATTTATTGCTTAAAGAATAGATTTTGGTACTTTCTTTATTCAAATGTTGAACTTTAAAAACCCTGATTTGAATTTATTAAAAATTTCATTGTATATAGTTGTTAACAGACAAATAATTTGAAATGATATATTTAATTAATTTATAAATGGATGCTCAGGTTTAATTGTCACTTAATAGCAATTACTGTGTGTATCAATATAAAAACATACTTTTCTAAAACAATTTGTATCTACAGTATAATTGTACTCATAAACCAGTTCTTACTGTCCTCATTGTAGAAAATATCTCCATTTTGGCGAGAATAGTTTGGTATTCCTACCTAAATTCAATAAGCAATAATAACACGCAATTTTATATGTCGTAAATAGAGAAACTTGTTGAATGAGTAAAAAGTAAAATAAGTAAGTATTAAATTTAAAAAAGTGTATATAAGTAATGTAAAACAAAGATAGGTTATTATTGATTGATAATATGTGGATAACTGGTATTTACAATAGAAAACAAATTTTGTTCTCTATTATATAGAAAAATAAGTACGTTTAAAAGTTTAAAAAAAATACAAATTCATGGTATTGGTAAATTTATTTTGGAACATTTATTCAAATTTTAACACGTTTATTGAAAATTAAACTTAAAATTAGAATATGAATAAAATATTTTTGAGATGAACAAAATATTATTGAACTTCTAAATGTAAAAAATCCACTGAGGTATAAATTCTACAAGAATTATTATGGATAATGAAATGGAAATGATTTATAATAGTAGTCTGCAGTTTCAACAACAAAAGAAGAAAAAAAAAGACAAGAAAAATTACTGCAAATTTGATTCAATCTTTCAATGCACATTAGGTGCACTACCAAAATTGGATGTGATGAAAAAAAATTGTAATAACAAATAGTCTTAAATTAACAAATATTATTTCCACTATATTTAACTATAAACTCATATATGTATATGTAATGTATATTTATGTGCATATGCATATGTATATGTATATGTATATGTATATGTAGGTATCCATGAAATAAGAATTCAGCCTTTTCTATATTTTAGCATTTAAAAAGACCAATTACCTTGTTTGATAGCTAGACTACGGGGAGTCTCAAAAATTTCTTTTGTACATTGGAAGTGCCTAGTTATTTTTGTTTTAAAAATGTAGATGTAATGGATTTTTTATTTGCTCGAGTGAATTTGTGATATTTTTAGACCAAGCAAGGCCTAGATGATGTATTCTAGAAATCGTGAATTTATCATAATGAAATATATTATATTTGCTCAATACAAGAGTAATATTAATAACAGGATCCGATTCAATACCCTGAATACCAAATTTCATGGTAGAACCGATTACAACGATTCCTGTGCCATCAAAGGAAAATCCATTAGTTATCATCGTAAACCTTGTTAGTTATAGTACTTTTGTACTAAATAAAATGATCAAGAAAAATTCACTAAAACTCATTAAAAGATTATAAGTGAAAAATAAAAATTCATTACCATTTTTTGAATTTGAATTGTTTTTGCGTACAAAAATGTGATTTCGTTTACTAGTTATATTTACGTATTAATAAACAAGATTGTTATAGATATTGAGGGTGATCATTCATGTTGATATGACAAAAAAAGCATATTGAGTAAATATAAATATATTTGTATGATATAAATAATACGAAAGTACGCCATTTTGTTTGTTCGAATCACTTCTTTGGCCTATTTTTGAGGATGTTCCTCAGTAATAAACGAAGATCCTTAACTAACTAAAATATATTTAATAAATAAAAAAACAGCCTCAAACGAAAGCAGTATCGAACAATTATGAATACAATTTGTGTTAATAATAGTGTTTTTTGAATTATGTTAATTCAAATGTAAAATATATGAATTGTTGTTATATGCCATTTCAAAAAAGATAAAAAATATCATTGGTACTAATTTCAGTCCTGATAAAAGTAAAAATCATACAATTAATGTTTATTCATGTATATACAGAAATTTTGTAGAAAAAGAAAAAATTGTTAAATAGAAAATGTGTATAAGGCAGTATTTTAGGTTTGGTGCCTTTATATAAGTAGAATAGAATTATTTCATTAAACACAACTATTAAGAATGATATCACAATTTATCTTTCTTCTCTGCATAACTTAAGTGAAGTGAAAGCTTAAAATTTAGACAGCTAATTAAGCAGGCAATCCTTCCGATTATTCAGATTAACATTTCAGATTTTTCCTTTTATAAAAGTGTGCGGGGGCTTTCCAATATTTACTTGAGTTTTTAATAATAAAAAAAATTGAACGGGAATGAAATCTTGATCAGTTATTTAGTCCTCTCATTACACATTTTTGTTTCAATTTATTTGATGTATTTAACTGTAATGTTTAAATATAAAATGTCAATTGATATTTAAATTATGATTTTCTTTAGTTTTGTTTGCATTTTTGTTCATTTTCTGTTTACATTAGTTTAAGTAGGTGTTGAAAGAAAACCAACCCGACTTGTAAGAAGCCTTTTAAGTAAAACAAATTGTAAATTAGTAACGAGAACTATGAATTAATACAATTGTAGATATGATAGAATTTTACACCATTTGTATAAAATTTGTACATTTTTAAACATAAAATAATTAACCCGATAATGTTAAACCAGTAGTTCCTGAATTTGAAGAAAAAAAGGTATGCGTTCTTTGTCGGTCTGATGATCAAGATTTCCCACTTATTTTCTTTATTATGTCTGATCAGTATTTACTCACACACTATTAGCAGTTAATTGTAAATATTTACTTGTTACACAATAATATAATGTAAAATTTGTTATAGCGCATCTTCTTAATAGAGCATTATGTAAAGAGGGATTATACTATTTACAAATTACAATGTCCTTTTCATTAAAATGTCATCACTATAGCAAGTGCTGTGAATGTAACTATTTTTCCATTTTCGTCCGTTAGCCTTAGATCCAGGTTTTCTTTATGAGATATTTACTCCTTTTTTTAATGAGAGTCGTTAATGTGCATTGGTAATTTCTAAACTGTATAATCCTAGTTGTTATATACAGTAGTTTGTATTGAAAAAAATTGTTATTGTATAGTTGGAAAAAAGAAATTAAAGAAATGCGCCACATTTGCAACTGTTTCAATTATTTAACCTATTCTTATCAAATAATTTATTCTACTAAAATTATTTAAAAAAATCATTTTTTCAATCCAATCCACCGCCATAGTTTAGTGAACCAGTGCAATAAAACGAACTGTTCCCAAAGGAACTATTGCTCAAAAGGAACAGTTTTGCTGATCTCTACCTATGACTAAAGTATGTTCCAATGTGAAAGAGAATTCAAGTCATATGACTAAGAGATGTGTACTTCATGAACAAACCAGTTCATATATAGTTAGTCCTTTTTTAGTTTTTTCTCAAAAATTAGGCGAAACAACTTAAACTCCACTTTAAAAAGTAAACTTTTTTTATTGTTGCTTCAAAAAAAAAAAAAATTTGTCCTCCAAAAAGCATGAACATCCTTCAAATAACTGTTAACTGAACTAGTTTTAAAAAAAGTATAATTCATCAACCGACTAGTTCAAAAAACTATTCCCGAAAAAGAACTATTGACAGATTTAAAGTGGATACAACTTGTTAAATAAACTTAACGTTTCCCAAAAGGAACTATTCCTTAAAAGTTAAAAGGAAAAGCTTCGTCCACCTTTATTAGAGAGAGCAGTTCATGAACAAGCTAGTTTAAATTAAGTATTCCTATTATTTTTTCTATCCAGTACAATATGCATAAGATTCGGAAAACATACATGAAAAATACTAATGCCCACTTTAAAAATGTAACTGTTTTTTTCTTCTCCATAAAGGATGAACTACCTAGTTCGTTCGAAGAACTATTTCGCTAAAACGAAGTGTTCCGAAAGGAACTTATTCCTCAGAAGGAACTGATTTGTTCTCTAACAGAGACGTGCAGTACAGGAACATCATCTCTAACAGAGACGTGCAGTACAGGAACGAACTAGTTCAGATGAACCATTCTCGAAAAATAACTATTGACCTATCTTTTTAGTGAACTGTAGTTCTTTTTCAGTGTTTTTTGTTTCTAACCTGTATTAAATAAACTTTTTCAAAAATTACGTGCATAAACTAAAAACGTATCAGATTTTTTTGGCTTCTCTATAAAGTATGAACTTCCTAGTTTGGTTCGAAGAACTTGTTCAATGAGCTTAACTTTTCCCGATGGAAATTATTTCTTTAAGGAACGAATTTGTTCATCTCTATGTAGTATTACTTGGAGATCGTGAGATGCGGTCTGGACCAGACTTCACGATTTCCAAATTCTTATTAACTAACGGTCACTAAACACCACGCATTTCTATGTGGTATGGTATGCCGCGGTCCCCCATAATTAATTCGGTACAGTCATTTTTGCGTTATGTATTTATGTAATTCTTCCATAGACTTGCTGAAAGGTTTCAAATATTCCTCCATATAGTCCTCTCGTACCAATTTAGTATAATAAGGAAAGATGATTTTCTCTTTTTCCAATGGAACAGCCTGGCTTGAACGTGCAACACTGTAGAGCTTGGGACGGGTGGAGCTCTCTGCCGCCGCCGCTGACAGACGCTCTCCGTGAGCCGAGACCCCTTCTCGAGTGAATACAAAACCTTACCGCGACCCACACAGACAGCTTTTCGGTCCAGTGTGCTTTATTTAACGTTTGTTGTTTTTTGTCACTTGGTACCGGCTCCAACTATCGAGGTTGTCGCGAACGCGTACGTTCCACCATCAACGAATGTAAAATTATGTGTGTTATGCGTTAACTCGAGTGCTTCGGAAACCTTTCAGACCTGACTAGAAAGTTGATTGATTTGTCTGTGATGGATGAAGATGACTGTCGCAACGGTATTGGAACTAAATCTCCTATCAAACGACTCGGATCAACGAGGAAACTTCTTCTTTTTAACAGTGAGTCATTTTGGATTTTATGTCTCTCACCCCCGTTTGGCTATTTAATTTTGTTTTCGTTTACTTCTCGCGCCTTCGACTCGGCCGACTATTCTCCCTTCCACCATTTTATTTAGATTCTCTGCTTTATTCCATCTGTCGTGGATTTTTTTTTGGAATGTTTTTTTTCCCGACTTGGTACGTCCTGTCGAGGTCGGACAAAACAGTCCCGTCCTAACAAAAAATATGGCCGATCCACATAGATATGCATCCGTTTTGATGTTTGTGTTCCACTTTTTGTCAGCCGTCAAAAATTTGAATGTCATTCTTTCATCCCTTGAAGAAATAAATCAATCTGCCCGGTGTAATCCACCCGAAGAAAAACTCATCCGCCCTGTGTTTCATACTGTCCGTGATTTCTTCGAAAAGATCGCTAAAACTTTCATAATGTTTGTACGACAGGTCAAAAAATAAATCACAGTTTTGGGTCATGTTTGTGTAAACCTAATGACATCTCGAAAGTTGACAGACGAGTCGTAAAGATATCACTTCAAATGTACTCATAAGCTTTTGTATTTATTTATTATCGCTCCTGTAAACAAAACGATTCAGAATTATCTTTATAGCGGCAAAGGATTTTTTTTCTTTATACAGGTAGCAGTTGACATTCCGTTCTGACATTAGTAAACAAAATTAAGACTAATATAATCTGCAATATTAAGTAATGATAAATTATTCGTCGTCGTACGTTTATTCTTAGTTGGTGTTGTGTTGTGGTTTGTATGAATTTTCAGACATGATTTCATACATAAATAATTATGTTTTTCTTGTATACAAGTAGCAGTTGATGAAGCGATGACTGGTTAGCATGATCTCGCATTAGAACCGACTACGGACTACTTAGTCGTACGATTTTCTCACATTACAATTGGGAACAGACTTATTGTTAGTTGGTGTTGTGTTGTGGTTGGCATGAATTGTCAAACATCATTTCATTCATAACGGTGTTTTAAACAGTTGAAAATGACAATAGGTTTGTTTTCCTTGGTTAAAAGTAGTAGTTTGTTGATTACGCTATGACTGTTTAGCATGGTTTCACACTAGAACCGACTAACGACTACTTAGTCGTACGATTTTCTCACATTACAATTTAAAACAAGACTTATTGTTAGTTGGTGTTTTGTTGTGGTTGGCATGAAATTTCAAATATTATTTCATACTTAAAGGTGTTTTTATTAGTTGAAAATGATAATAGGTTTGTTTTCCTTGGTTAAATGTATTAGTTTGTTGTTGAAGTGATGACTGGATAGCATGGTTTCACATTAGAACCGACTAAGAACTGCGTACATTACAATTTAGAACAGACGTATTGTTGGTGTTGTGTTGTGGTTGGCATGAATTGTCAAATATTATTTCATACTTAAAGGTATTTTATGGGGCGTCGGTGGCCGCAACGGTTAAGGCGATGACGCGGCGCTCATCACTGTAAGGTAAAGGTCCCGGGTTCGAATTCAGCGGCCCTCCATTCGAACCCGACATACTTACAAATGGGCCTTTTTTTTTTCAATAACACCGGCACCCTGAGGGTTCATATGACCTCTGATGTTGCGAACCCTCGTAAAAAAATAAAATAGTATAATAAAAGGTATTTTAACAGTTGGGAAAGATGATATATTTGTGTAGACTTGTCGGGGTCATTCGACTATCACTTGAGCCTAAGCAGTTCTTCCCTGAAGTCTTTCTGGGAAGGCGTTCGATCGAACTACTCAATACTCAATACTAATACTCAATCCTTTTTTTGTCTAGTAAATCTCATCCTAAAATCATACCTATTGGATCGTTCCTCTCTGATCCGTTTTATCCACTCTAGTGTTCCTCAAAGGGGCAACCTAGGGTCCTATACTTTTCAGCATATATACGGCAGACTTAAACAACCTTATCACAATCGCCTTGATGGTACAGCAATCTTGTCTGCAAAGCACGCTCCTGCCCTTGCTGTTCGAATCCTTCCAAGACCGCCTCCTCACCATAGAATCATTATTCCACCAAAGCAGTTTCTCTCGGACATGAATATCACTCAGACCTTCGAATTCCTTATTTTACTGACCAAGCAAAATCCAGATACCTCAGGTTCGACTCCAAAATTACATTTCAACTAGCTCATTCACAGCCTTTGACCTTTTGCTCTCCCTTTATTATTATTATTATTATTATTATTATTATAATAATAATATTCTCCCCCTTATAATATAATATTCATGTCATCCTCGAGGCTGTAGGGTCTACTGTTGAAACTCAAATCCTTCCTTTTCAGTACATAGTTACATACTACCTATCTGATCGTTTGGTGAATTCTAACCTCGCTGGTGTTTCTGAAGGGAGTATCCTAGCTCCGTTACTCCTCTGAACACTCAACACAGTACACTCTTCCTGACGGTACAGCAATCCTTTGTAAACCTCGAAACCTTTCTTCACAGTTTCTCTAAGAATTGAATACCTCTCAGATCTACAAATTCCTTATGTTACGGGCCTAGACAAATCCCGATACCTCAAGTTCCACTCAAATTAACTTTTCATTCCAACGTACCTTTCGACTTTTACCCTTCCTATCAATCCCGTAGAAGGTTGAGGGGCCCCTGGTCTTACGACCAACTATGCACATAAATCCATCCATTGGGTTCATCCTAAGTCCGTTACTTACCTTAACACTCTTAAAATACTCACCCTGGCGGTACAGCAATCCTTTGAAAACCTCGATCCTGCCCTAACAGTTCCTCTAAGACATGATTACCACTCCTTATATTACTGACCTTTTGATTATTCCCTACCAATCTCCTAGGAAGTTGGAGGAGCCTCTTGTCTCGCCACCAACTGTGCGCACATGTCATGCAATCGAAGAAGCTGCCTAATATTGGTGGATGGGTGTCTCATTCACTTTGATTAAACGTACTTACTATAGATTTGAGTAATTCTTACAGCTTTAACTTTATTGAGGCCCTTTTGTGACCGATTTTTTTATGTTTCATTCGGAAACCGTGTGACAACCTATTGATGCGAAGCTGTCCATTTCTTGCGCCTCATTTGGTTCACGGTGTGTTTGAAGAAAATAGATTTCAATGAACTGAAGACTTGAAATCTTAAGTCTACACTGGACTTTTGATTTTCTTTTTCAGGTCCTGGCTCCATTTCCTGTCTTGAATTTTCGCATACCTCCTAAATCAGACAGCACTTTACTGCCTTTAAAAAGTCTCATCCTATCAATTTGCTTTCAACTTACCTAGATTAACAGTATTAATTCTATATTAGAAAATTGATAAATATTTTATATTTCAAAACTGCCTGAGTTGGAGTCCTGGTATGACCTAGGGGGTTGACAGCACGTGGATCTTTCGTGATGGCAGTTTCATATTTTATTTTATTGATTTTTAATTTTATTGCATTTGAAAACACAGGGTTCAATGTTATACATAGATGTTTATGTTTGTTAACTTTTTAAATTATTAATTAAAATTACGAAGTCCTGGATAAAATGGGATATTTTTGATGAAGGATGGAAGGAACTGAGTATTTTCTTTCTAATTTGCATCATCCCTGATCTTTTTTCCCTAAATGTAATTGTTTGTATGGCGTATTTTTCCTATTTCTGAAATAGCCCACGTACGTAAGCCCACATTCCCTTGTTTATCGGTCCTGAGTATTTTTACAGCCTGCCTCAACTATTGGGTTGTCCGGAAAATAATGCAGGATTTTAAGTTTTCATTAAAAAAAATCTATATAAAATATTCTGTTTACGTTTACAGGATTACTCATTTGTATGAATGTCAACACTTATTAATCCTCTTCCAAATGATATTGTTTGTTTACCTCTGTAGCATTCCGCTACTTGGAAATAATTCAGTCATCCTTATAATGTCAAAGCGAGAATTTCGTACGATTTTCTTTTACGAGTTTAAACTCGGCCGAAGCGGAGCCCAAACGGCTAGAAACATTAACCAAGTCTGGGGCGAGGGTTGTGTTAATGAGTGCACTGTGCAAAGGTGGTTTAAAAAATTTCGGGAGGGAGATTTCAGCCTTGAAGATGAAGAAGGTCGTGGAAGGCCTTCCTCTCTTAATGATGATGTTCTGCGATCAGTGGTGGAAGAAAACCCCAAAACAACTGTTCGAGAACTTGCAGAGCAACTCAAAGTCAGTAAAACGACCGTCGCTGACCACCTCAAGGCGATTGGAAAAGTGAAAAAACTCGAAAATTGGGTTCCACACTCATTAAACGATCGCCAAAAAATCAGCGCTTTGATGTTTGTGCATCACTTCTTTGTCGAAACAAAAATGACCCATTTCTGGCCAGAATTGTTACATGTGACGAAAAGTGGATTCTCTACGATAAAACTAGACGTTCTGGACAGTGGCTCGACAAAGGAGAAGCTCCAAAGCCCCCAACTCATCAAAAAAAGGTAATGGTTACGGTATGGTGGGCTTCATTTGGTTTAATACACTACAGCTTCTTAAATCCTGGCGAAACCATCAATGCTGAATCATACTGTAACCAAATTAATACCATGCATCAGAAATTGGCAGTAATGAAGCCCTCTTTGGTCAATCGGAAAGGGCCCATTTTGTTGCATGACAACGCTCGACCACATGTGTCACGTGTAACGTCACAAAAATTATTGGAGCTTGGCTATGAAACTTTGCCTCACCCACCCTACTCTCCGGACCTCTCGCCTACTGACTACCATTTTTTTAGACACCTGGACCACTACTTACAACACATAATATTCAAAAATCAAACGGAACTGGAAAATGCATTTATTGACTTTATCAATTCTAAAAATTCTGAATTCTACTCAGACGGAATTAATAAGTTACCAACACGTTGGGAGAAATGTATTGAGAGTATGGGAAATTATTTTGATTAAAGAACATTGCTTTAAAGTAACTAGTTTCTTTTTTTTTGTTTAATACCAAAATCCTGCATTATTTTCCGGACAACCCAATACGTTGCTGATTGTTTTAAAATCGGCGGAAATTCTCTGTCTGGCTGTTTCTCAACAACCTTAAAAAAAAAAATTAAATTAAACCCATGGCAAAATTTGATGCGTCGCATTAATATTATAAGAATTAAATTGATTTGAGCAAACCCTCAGCTCATTTCCACAAGTCACCCTCTGGATTTTATTAATAAACACGATCGGAAATTTTTAGATTGACGGGTTTCTTGGAATTTCGGGTTCGGATCGGAAATTCTAAGCGTTGCAGATGGCACCCGGTGGAAACTTGCCAGCAAAACTTTTATCACAATTAGCACAAGAATACCTAGGATCTAGGATCCAACTCCAGAAAAATAAGCCGACCTACCCCAACTTAAATAACTTGATCCACGCGGCGATTGATTTTATCCAATTTTAAGTTTTCCATTTTTTAGGTTACTAGGCAGGGATTTTATCTATTCAAATGGTTATTGATGTGTAATTTTTAAAGTTTATCCATTCGTTTGATTCCAAATGGATTCAGAGCCCATGATGTTGCTTTTCCGACTAGTGAGTCGGACTATGGCTTTTTGCCGACAAATTACCCTTTTTAATTTCAAATTAACGCTTTTTAAATCATAATTAACCCTTTTTTATTTCAAATTGACACGTTTTAATTTCAAATTAACCCCTTTTTTATTTCAAATCAACGCTTTTTAATTTCAAATTACCCCTTTTGAATTTCTAATTGACTATATTTTTTTTAAAGCGTGAAAAACAGATGGTATGAAATATAAGCATGTAAATTAAAATTTTTGAATGTGCGTTTTTTGAAACTATAAAATAATCGGGCTCTTAGAAGACCATAAGAAAATTCAATTTAATTAAAAAATGTATATATATATATATATATATATATATAAACTTTCTACGCATGCCGGACACATACATGATATTAATCCTAAAAGTAAGTCTCTGTGTGTCAACCGTGTATGGCCTATTCTTAATCGGGTGGGGATGGCTCCCGCTTCTACGAGTCAGATCTCTGAGAGCCACCTAATGACAGAGCTGTTGATAGGCGAGAGCTTCTCTGTCGATCTGGACCACTGAAACTGCAGCTTTCTGTTAATAATGTTTTTATTGCTTTTTTAGCATCAGAGGGCGGTTCTGAATCTCGAAGAAACTTTTTTTTATATTTCTAATTTTATATAAATTTTAATTGTAATTGTAATTAATTTTCATGTGGTATTTAAGATAAAAAGTAATTTTTTTAAATTCTCAAATTAAAAGAAAAATCCTTTTTTTTAATTAATTTTTATATGGTATTTTAAGATTTTTAAATTTTTAAAAGGTATTTTTAACATTTTTAAAATTTTGCAAATATCCATGGATTTTACTTTATATGCTTATATTTTATATTATACCATCTCTCAAGTTTTTTAACTCTTTAAAGAAAGAGTTAATTTGACATTAAAAAGGATCTTTTTTTAAAAAAGGGGCTAATTTCAACTTAAATAAGGTTATTTGAAATTAAAAAGGGTTTATTTGATATTAAAAGGGGCTAATTTGACAGATAAAAGCTGTACATATTTATTTGTACAGGGGTTTTAAATTTGTATTTTTACACACAATTTAGTGTGTAATTATTATTTTGTTTATTAACTTATTAATATACAAAGTTATATTAGTTTTGAGCTGGTAGGTTGAATGAGATTATTATTATGTACATATTTTTATTTCTCCTGATGCCTTTACCATTGCATGTAATTTTTTTTAAAGAATGTATTTTTCTTTTATTCCTTACTAATAGTAACATCTTTGTAGTAACGATAATAATAAATTTATATTTTTAAAAATTTGCATATATGCAAGTATATAGGAATTTTACTTTGCTTATTTCATACCATCAAAAAATTTTTCAATGTTTTGAAGAAAAGATTCATTTGAGATTAAAAAGGGTTAATTTGAAGTTACAAAAGGTTAATTTGATATTAAAATGGGTTAATTTGAAGTTAAAAAGGTTAATTTGATAGAAAAAAGGTTAATTTTAAGTTAAAAAGGTTTAATTTGAGGTTAAAATATTTAACAAAAATTCAAATTAAAAGACTTCTTTATTTTTATATTGAATTTTTTATAATTTTTAATACAAATAAATCAAAAGCTCTTAAAAAGGCCATGTGAAAATTAATTACAATTGAAATGAAAAATTATGAAAAGTTCAATATAAAAATAAAGAGGTCTTCTTTTAATTTGAGATTTTTTTGTAAGTATGTACGACACAATAAGTTTGATTTATGCCATAAAAGACAGACTTGTTGGTCGTTGCCAGATTGACTTCAATGCTTGATTTCTCGGTGTTTCTTTTACCTTCTTCAAGTTTTCCCAAGTGTGAATAAGGATAGGACAGGATTTATAATGAATACTACCTTTTAGATTGCTAATGGTGTGCCAAAAACTTTTGCTATTATAGGCTACTCTTAATTTCACTTCAATTGCATCATAGTTTTTATTTTTGAATTCAATTATGGTCTTGTAATGTTATTTTTTTGCCAATAAGTAATCCTGGAATGCTTTCATTGAACTGATTTTTATGACAAATATGCTAGGTATATTTTTTTTTCTATAAAGCATTTGATGCTGCATTTTTAGACCCTATACTGAAGATGACAATAAGCCGAAATGCTTTTGGTATACCAAAACAGCGATTATTTACAGACAATTGAAAACAACCATCTCCGATAACCCCTTGGAGTAAATCATACGTAAAAACATATACTTTGGCTGTAACTTTACTGTTTCCTCACTGATATGGCAGTGAAATTCAAACTCTCTAGGGTAGACAGACCCAGTGTAGTGATCTAGTGTCGATCAGTTTAATGTGTTCTACTCTCAGTCCAACAAACAAAGAAAATAATTGAGAATCAATTCCCATCATTAATATGGTCAGTGGGGCGAGTAGTTTTTTCCCCTAATTAGTATGTGAAACTACACTACTCATGGCACCACACTTCACATAAAACAGTTATCATTCGCTTTCACTCTTTCCTCTCCCGTGCTACTCAGAAGTCAGAGAAATACATTTTTTTGTTAATACTTATACAATCTTAATACTATCTTAATTTTTTTTTAAACATGACAGTCTCAGGCCAAGATGTTTTAAAACCTAATTAGTGTAAAAAAAACTAATTGGGTGGTACAGTGGGGATCTCATTAACAGTGGTTGTTAAGACATCAAGGATCTTGTATTCAGCCCTTAATTATTGAACGTTTGAATCCCAGCCTTACTCTCAGAGTTTTCTTACCCTTTGCAGCTATTCATATTATAATATTAACAAACAAATATTCATAATATAATGGCTCGCAGGAGATTCTGAGATGAGGAATTCACACCAGACTCATAATAGGCAATAAGAAGTTTTCACACAATTATTTAAGAGCCAAAGCTTGAGTATGCTTCAGGCATGAAGACAAACGGTTGCCCGTATCTCACATGTTTCATGGATATATAGTGAGCAAGTAGAAAAGCTACTGGACAGGAGAATTGTGAGCTTGGCTGTGAGACTTTCTTTCCTTTCCAATTTTTTCTAATTCCCTGTATTCTACTTTTTTTTAAGAATGTCCAGCTGGCTGTTGAGTATAGATTTTATTTTTATTAACATATCATTCTTTATTATTATTATTTTAGATATAAGACTCCAATTGACAGAGCAGTTACGATGCCTGGATACACGAATGGAAACTCAGGTGGCTATTGTCACCGAGCTCCAGGAGTTTTTCAGGCGGAGGGCAGAGGTTGAACTCGATTATAGCAAAAGTCTTGACAAGTTGGCGAAAGGTCTTCAGCTACGGCATAAGGAACACAAACAGAAGTGAGTCTCCAACAAGAAATCCTGTAAGGAATTTTTAATATAAACTTCAATCAATGGAATATTATAATTTGCAGAAGAGAACAGTGGTCACTCTTTTCAAGTTATTCTTGTTGGCAACATCTTGTTGAGCAAACAAAAACAATCAGCAAAGATCATGCAGCACTGAGTGAAATATATTCAGTTCATTTGGTTTCTAAATTGTCCCAAGTCATAGAAGACATACAACGGATTTACAAGAGGGTAATTATTATTAATACCATATTAATTAATGTTAGGAGAGATGTAAATTAAAAAAATGATTAATGTTCTAGTGTCGAGAAATCGGTTGTGATATGCATGATGAAATATTCAGAGTGCTTCATGAACTTCATACATCTCTCAAAACATATCAGATGTACCAGGCCAACTGTAAACAAGCTGAGACTAAATTACGTTTAGCTGAGGCTCAGAGAACAAAAATCGAACAAAGTGTTCCTAAAGAAAAACTCGATCGGTCGAAAAAATTCCGTCTGATTGAAAAAGACGTTCAAAAGGTACAAGTTTTTCATACATTGTTTAAAGGTTTGTGATTGTATTATATATATTTATATTTTTTATTTTTTTAGAGAAAAAATAAATATTTTGATGCTAAATTGAAAGCATTAAAGGCTCGAAATGAATACGTTCTGTGCATCGAAGCATCTAACGCCACTCTGCATAAATATTATGTGGACGATTTGTCCGATCTTATTGACTGCATGGATTTAGGTTTTCACCATTGCATTTCCCGGGCTCTCTTGATGCATGTAACATGCGAGGAAGGTAGACAAAAGTCGATTCAAGCCAACATGGATTCATTGAATGCTGTTATATCTGGTTTGGACTCGAGACTTGACAAGCAACGTTTTTTGGAATTTAACCACACTGCTTTTATGATCCCAAAGAAACTGGAATTTTTAGGCAAAAAGGATGAGGTAAAGTTTTACGAAGTTTTATAATTTTAAATAACTTGTAAGGGAGGCGCCAAGGACCTGGAATCTCCAATGTTTGAGAAACTTTTTTGGTGCTATTAAGTCGGAAAAATATTAGTCATCTATATGAGCATTTTTGCCAACAAGTCATAAGGGAAGCTGAGAAAAAAATGTTTTAAGTAGTTTTTTAAATACATTTTTATGCACTCTTTGTGCATGTATTTTAAGGTTATTATATTCAATACAAAACTTCATTTTTTTAATTTATGATAAGGAAATAATATGCAGGATCATATTAAATATGATTAAACATATAAAAAGTTACAATAACCAAAAGATGCTTTGAGTAATGTAGGTAAAACAAAAGTTTTTGATAAAATTCTTTTTTACACCCTGTAAAACCATTATGTATGAATTTCCATCACAGGTAGAAAATGTACATTTTTTGTTGTATGAGCCGAGGGAGGGGGGGCAATTTCGTTGTCTCTGATGTTTGGTGTTCCATATAAAACAAAAAACTTCTCTCCGAAGTTAAATACAACAAATAACTCTTCTTCCGAATTTGACATTACAACTGTAGGAAAGCTGGATTGCTCTTTTTTCAGCCTATGGCCACAATATTTAGGTTTTATGCTATGCTAAGTGAGAAAAATTAAAATGACACCAATGAAAATTACTCAGATGTGTTATTTTATATCTTCATTTGTAATTTATTTATAGGCGCGACATTTGTGGTTACGTGTAGTTTATCAATTACTAAACCCCTTAAAGTTTATAATAGATTGGTGAAGACGTTTTAAAGTTATCACCTTTCTTGTGTTTATCGAAAAAAAAATCTGTGAAAAATATATATTAGCAAAATACAAAGTTGATATTAGTTTTTAGCAACCCCGAAAACCCCTGAACAAAAACTTTTGACAAAATCAAATAAGTTAAATATTTTTTTCCCTCAAAATGTTCACCTTGTAACAAAATTTTCACAGATTGTTTTTTTTAGATAAACACAAAAAAGGGGATAACTTTTTATTTACTTGCTAAGTCGTTGGTTTAACATATAATTTATGACCAAGCAACATAGCAAAATAGACTAAAATATTTTTTTAACAAGAAACAAATCAAATGTTTGTTTTTAACACTGTAAAAATATCTGAATGCAAATTTTTGTAAAAATAAAATTAAAAAAAAAATTATATCCTCCATCTTCCAAATAAAATTCCTGTGAATTTTTTTTAAAGAAAATTACAAAACTGGTGATAACTTTGAAATGACTCAAGCAATTCACATGAAACTTTACAGGGGTTTAGAAACTTATAACCAGTGATAAAAATACCAAAATTTGAGGACTTTTTATGGATTTCATCCTTAGTTTTCTCACTTATAATGGCATAAAATTGGAGCATTGTTGACATTGCGTGAAAGAAGCAATATTCTGCTTTCCAATGGTTGTAATAAAGTTGAATTTGGTTAAGATCCAGAGTAATTTATTTTTTAAGTGGTACACTAGATATCAGTGAGAAAAAAAATTGCCCCAAATCCAGCCCAAAAGTGTTGATTTTTGTTTTGCAATAAATAATTTGTATTCAATGGCTTTACAGGGTGCTAAAATGAATCTGATTTTTTTTCTTCAAAAAATTTGTTTTTGCCTTCTTTACAGAAAGAATATTTTGGTTTTTGCAACTATTTATATATATATAACCTAATTGCATACAAGCTAGTATATTAGTTTCTTATCTTACAAAAAAAAAAAAAACTATATATATACAGGGTGAATTGCTACTCGTGCTACAAACTTCTCCAGTAGATTCTTCACCCTAAAATGAACAAAAAAGTTCATATTGTCCATGGTCCGATTCTCAACCATTTCAGAGTAATTTCGCTTTTTATCGATTTTGAAAGATATCACGTCCTGGCGTCGGAAAATCGTGATATCTTTTAATCTAAACATTTCTCTGAAAATCTAATAGCACCGTTGAAATTCCCGTTAATTTTTCAATAAGAAGATGACGGTGGCAAAATGTTTGGGCTAATTTTTTGTGTTTTATTTCAGCCAGAACTACAAAAAGAGTGGAAAATTGTGTAAATCGGAAAGTGTATAAAGTAATCCAGAGTTTCTAATTTTAGTCTCAGAAGGCAGCAAATTTGAGGAAAACTACCTGATTTAATAACGCTTCCAACGCACTCGTCATTTTCTTATTTAGTGGTTGTGAGACCAAGATGTTGATGACAAAAAGAGAAAAAATGGTGGTTCAAGGATTGCTAATGTTTGAGAGTGACTTGCTACTCGTGCTACAAACTTCACCAGTAGATTCTTGACCCTAAAATGAACAAAAAAGTTCATATTGACCATGGTCCGATTCTCAACCATTTCAGAGTAATTTCGCTTTTTATCGATTTTGAAAGATATCACGTCCTGGCGTCGGAAAATCGTGATATCTTTTAATCTAAACATTTCTCTTAAAATCTATAAGCACCGTTGAAATCCCCGTTAATTTTTCAATAAGAAGATGAAGGTGGCAAAACGTTTGGGTCTTTCTTCCTTGACCTTCTAGCTGTTTGTAAACTTCTTAAGCATTACATACTAAATGGGCATTAAATTAAATTAAAAAATTTCAATGGAATTATGATTTTGATTCTCTCTAAAAATTAACGGGGATTTCAACGGTGCTTATAGATTTTAAGAGAAATGTTTAGATTAAAAGATATCACGATTTTCCGACGCCAGGACGTGATATCTTTCAAAATCGATAAAAAGCGAAATTACTCTGAAATGGTTGAGAATCGGACCATGGTCAATATGAACTTTTTTGTTCATTTTAGGGTGAAGAATCTACTGGTGAAGTTTGTAGCACGAGTAGCAAGTCACCCTGTATATGCACAACAAAGCCAGAAAATACATTTTTTTAAAAATAACTTAAAATATTTTTTGTCAGCCCTTAGGGTCCATTGGTAAGAATGCTCAGTCATATTTTTATATTTTTTAACTAGCATCACCAAAAAGGTTTTCTTAAAATTAGTGATCCACAGAATAATAAATGGTGGAGGGAATGTGTTGTTTGATCTTTTTAAAAAGACAGTTCGTACTCACAGTTAGTTGTTTTCAGTGATCTGTATTTCAAGCTTATAGCTCATCATCAAGTTGAAATCTAGATCGTTGAAAACAACTAACTGTGAGTAGGAACTATCTTAAAATAAATAAATATATATATAAAAAGATCCCCTTGCTTATTAATTATAAATGAAGGTATACATCATCAGATTTATTTTCGGTTTTCTAATTCCTCGTTTCTTATTTAATTTATATATAGACTAGTTAATATTTTGTTGTTTCTGTTTATTTTCTCTAGCATTTAGTTGAAATTAATATAATTTTCTCTCTGATTCAGGCTGAACCTGAACTTCAAAAACTGTTAAGTGCAGATATGGGAATTCGTCTTGCACAAATGGAATCCCGAATTAACACCGTACGAGCACAAAGTGATGAAGTTTGGAAGACACTGGAAACAGCGGAAGGCTCTTTATTACAAATGTTAACCTTGAAAGATTACGATTGTTCAAATTATTTCGGTGACGGAGCACAACCCACATCAAAGCCTCCAGAAACAGCTTCTTTAAAATTAAGAGCTGATCGTCACGAGACAGAAGAATTCTACCTCACAGTATGTGACGGTCCTTATTCAAAATAAAATCAAGTTTTCATTCTTCTAATTTTAAACTTTACTGTACTCATTATATAATACTGCTGTTAACTCTTCCCATCCTGACCCTGTTGTAGCTCACCGAACCCACATTCGTGTTTGCTGTACACATTCGTGTACAAATGCAAAGTAGCACTTGGCTACTGCAGTCTCCCGATGATTTTAATTAACCATTGATTTAAAGTTATCTCACAGTGATCAAACCTATATGACCTAATTGATTTTTTTTCTTGTTCTTTCATTTTTAGAAATTGCGAGATTTTCTTCTTGGTACTTCTCAAATAGCAAGGCTGAACGTCAAGTATGAATACATAAGAAATACTCTGGCAGACTTGAGTTTCAGTCCTCCTGCTCCGACTGGTGCAAGTGGTGTGAAACCTCCAAGAAGGAAGTGCATTGGCAGGCTAAATACTACAACTCAGCCAAAGCTGTTTGGTGGTTCTCTTGAAGAGTATATCGAAACGACAAACCAAGATATACCTTTGATCATTAAAAGTTGCATACGAATTATCAATCTCTATGGTAGGCTTTTCATTTGACTCGACTTAAAACTTCAATTGTATGATTTGTTCCATTTATTTTATGTGGACTTTTAAATTATAGGACTCCATCACCAAGGGATTTTCAGAGTTTCGGGATCGCAAGTGGAAATAAATAATTTTAGAGACTGTTTTGAAAGGGGTGAAGATCCTTTGGCAGATATTACAGATGCTTCGGATATGAATTCAGTTGCTGGTGTTCTCAAACTTTATTTGAGGGAATTGCGAGAACCGTTATTTCCAATAATTTATTTTGAACAGTTCATGGAACTTGCTCGTATGTTTTATAATTTTCTTTATTTAAATCAGTAGAGTACTAAGCTTATGGTTTTGAATTTAGAATTGGAATCGAAGCATGACTTTGTGATTAAAATGAAAGATCTTGTGCAAAGTTTGCCACGCTCAGTGATCATTGTAATGAGATATCTTTTTGCATTTTTGAATCAGTAAGTATTAATCATTGTATATACAACAAAATATTCTAAACCAGCTTATTAAAAAAAAAAATCATTATTTTTAGTCTTTCGGAATACAGCGATGAAAACATGATGGACCCGTACAATTTAGCAATCTGCTTTGGCCCTACACTCGTTCCTGTTCCAGAGGACAAAGATCAAGTCCAATATCAAAATCAAGTAAACGAACTTATCAAAAATATCATCCTTTTCCACGATGATATTTTTTCATCTGATATTGGCGGCGTCATGTATGAAAAGTACATTACAAAAGATGAGGACAAGTAAGTTTTTGAATTGAAGATGTTTGTCAGTCTGTGTGTTGGTGAACCTGTGCTGGACCCAATAAGTGATCCAGTGACAGTTCAGCATAAATAAGTTTTCTCAATTTTTTCTTCAGTTAAAAAGCACTTTTGAAAGCTAAATCACAATTACTAGGGTAAAAGCCCGTGCATTTTCTAGGTCTTAATGAGTTTTTTGTTTTAGCGATGTTGGAGACTCTCCATCTGAGCATGTTCATGAAGACCTAGACTCAGAAGTTTATCCATCAGAAGACGGTAAGCCATTTTGTTATTAATGGTATTAGTTCTTAAATTGTTTTATTTAAAGTTATTTGAGTAATAATATACTTCTTTTAAATAAGTATACAATTTAATTTGGCAAATTTTAGAATGTGAATGTGTTGAAGCTACTGCGCAATATGATTTCACTGCAAGAAATGACCGAGAGTTGACATTAGCAAAAGGAGACAATGTCATGTTGTTTAGCCAAGTGAGTTGTGACTGGTGGCGTGGTGCTGTCAGTGGAAGAGAAGGATTAGTCCCTGACAAGTACATTACTATAAAAATAAAGTAAGTATTCGTTAAATTTAAATGAAAATTTTTAAAAGTGGTTTCTTGCTTTAAACCAAAATATGGCACAATCAATTGTAAATAAGGTCAGCATTTGATTCATTGTGTTTCTTTGAACATGTAGTTGTATGTAAATTCAGACAGTCTTCAAGGTTTAAATATCATTAACTCAGTCCTCATAAAATAATTAATATATTTTTTTAAATACTCTCTTGTTTATTTTCTGGTAGATATTTATTTTCATTTGGTTTGAGTTATTTTACCTTACATTTTTTATCATAATTGTATTATATAACATTTAACATATACTTTATGAGATATACTTAAGCCTATACAAATAAGCACATTGTCTACCTTTTTCGAGATATTTTTTCTGCCAAATGATCCTTATTATTTTGTTGCATTTAGCATTTAAGGTTGGACTGTAATGAATATAGTTAATAGGTTTTCTTACTATATTCCTAGTGTGGTGGGGTGGGGGTTAGGTTAGGTAGGGTTATAGCTAGGAACAGATTAAGTTGAGGTTAGGTTAGATAGGGTTAGAGCTAGGGCCAGGCAAAATTAGGTTTGTGTTATGGATGGGTTAGGCTAGGTAAGGTTAGAGCTATTATTTAAAAATTATTTTCGTATTTGTTTAAAATAGGAGGTAAATAAAACTATTATATTATTTATGCATTTATCTCCATGTTTAATTTTTCATTTTTTATTTCAAATTTCTCATATCAATCTATAAGATAGACTATAAGCCCTCCCTTTGTTGAAACTGTAACACTGTTCTATTCAAATTTAAATTGAAATTGTGTTTTGTTTCATTTAGCTGGACCTTAAATTCAGAAAATTTGTTCGATTAGGCAAATGTTTTTCAACTCTAGTTTTAATTTCTCTACCGCTTTATGTATTTAATATCACAATCTTTACCTTTTAAAAACCTTTTCTTTTAAGAATTTTACCTTTTTTTCTGATTGTGCCCCAATATTTGGCAATCAATGAAAACCTAATGATTCGTTTTGGTGGGAGGGGGCTGAGTCTGATTGTTGCTTCTTTGTTTTTTTTTTTTGTTGTTATTTTTACTAGCAACCAATTAATAAATATTTCTTGATATCCATTGTTTTTAGCCAAGGTTTTAATGGTTTGTAATTCTTTCTTATAATTATTAGGTAATGTTAAGGTTATTGGGAGATTCATCATGGGAACTATAAGCCAAATGAATCCAGCAGCTTTTTTTGGGTACATGGGTGAGAAGAATATGCTGGTACAGCGTCTGTAGTTGTGGGTTTTCTATATACGTCTATTTTAATTAGATTATTTATTAAGGAAGTTTTACATCTAAAAAGTTTAAACAACGTTCTTTATTTCCAATGTATACGTTATACTAGAGTGTAAAGAATTTATTAGAGAAATTCTTTTAGATTCTCTAGTGTTCCCGACCATATACATAAAATATTTACGGTTGGTTTTTCTTGTTGTAAAAAAGGAGGCAGGTGACAAATTTATGAAGCATGCTTAAAAATAGTTTGCTATAAAATAGCTTTGATAATTCAAATTGTCCAAGAATATGCATGAGGTTGGAGATTTCATTGAATTCTCAGATTGGTTATTATAAATGAAAAATAATAACATAAAAACACCTGAAATACCCCAGGAAATGTTATGTGATAATTTAATTGATGAGTTTTATCCATTAAATTTATCTGAGGAAGAAATGAGCAATAGAACTAAATTAGCAGCTAGAAAGGAGTAGTGAAAAAACTATCATCATATTGTTGTGAAATGGCTATCAGGGGAAATTGTTAAGTGTTTCTCCATAGATCACACTGAGTCACAAGCTGGTGACAGAAACGACAATGAAAATGTAAGTTTACAGTATCCCATTGAATATTTACAATCAATGATACCTTCAGGTTTGCCTCCTTTAGAACTGCACTTAAAAACAGGATGTATAGTTATGCTATTGAGAAATTTATGCTTGGAGACGGTTTGTGTAGCAGGACCTGTTTGATAGTAAGAAAAATTGACAGTACGATAGTACACTACGAAATATTAACTGGGAATAAAAAGGGAGATATGCACATCTCTTGAATATATTTAGACACATGAGGATATACTAAAATGCTATTTGTTTTTAAACAAATTACCAGTTACAATTACCAGTCCATCTAGCATTTGCTATGACCATAAATAAGTCACAGGGACAAAGTTTTGAGAAAAAAGGATTGATTGTAAATTTAAAAAACAATATTTACAGATAAACAATTATATGTAGCCCTGTTGAGATGTACAACAAAGATGGGCTAAAATGCAAATTAAAAGAAAAATGCATAGAAAATATTGTTTTCGGCAAAGCGTTGGCATTGTGTAAAAGGTTTTTTTTTCTAGTGAGCCTGCCAAAAGTCAAAAGGCGCGGGAATGTTTGTTGCTTACTTATTTGGAGTTGCTCTTTTTGGCTTATTTTAAAAAATGATATTATAAAACTAGCAAAACAAGTCAGGGGTGGGCCCCCTAGTAAAGAAAAAAAAACATCAAAAAAGTAAAAGTGGATCTTGTGGACAAATGTAGGTATAATATTAAAACAATACGACAATATTAAAACAAACAGTAAAGACATGAGCAGCTTATAGCAGACCTTGGATAGATCATCTTTGAATCCATTTGCCATACAGAAGTTGAGACAAACACAATTTTTTTTTTGTCATAGGGTTAGTATCAAGTCACTTCATATCAGGTAAGGAGGGAGAAATTTTTTTTTGAGTATCTGTAATGTAGTTGTACATCCGCAATATGCACAATTGTTAAGGCAGTATAAAAATACACCAATTAGGAACAATTTTACTGCAGCTTGTCAAAATCACCAATAAAACCTGAAAAAATGTCCAAAAGCTCTTATATTATTTTCCTACTGTCTAAATTTACCATATCTCATTTCAAAGATTTTTTTTAATTTGTTCCACAGATTTAATTTATTACTGAATTTAATCTACTTAATAAATTTTTTTTAACCAACCATTCTGATTTCCTGTAGAGATGATGGGAATGAAAAGCAAGATAAATGGGACATTGACGGCGAAGTTGAAGATAAAAAGGACAGGGCAGAAACCGGTGAGTCTGAAGCAGGTGAGTCGACGAGTGAACAACTGCAGACTGTAACTACAACTTGGCTCCCGCAGCAACAGGTACTAGAAACAGCTGTTTAGTCGTAAATTGCTACATTTATTATTAGATTTTTCTTTTTAATTTTTTTTTTTTAATTTTCAAAGTGAAATTTTTAAGTATTATTGCATCCCATAGAACGGCTCTTTTGCATGTTTAATTTTACATTAGTATATAAAATTGGTAGTTTTGGCATAAAAGCAAATGGTACTATGAGACAATTTTTTTTGCATATATATACAAAAAAATATATATACAAAAAAAAAATATATATATATATATATAAAATTTATCTAGATCTTGCCATAAATTTTTTTTACACATTTTGTACAATTTAAATTAAAACACTACAATTAAGAGCATCACAGTGTTCAAACATTTTAAAAGAGCTTTCGAAATTTTAAAAAACCTATTTTAAAGGGGTTATGAATGTATGAGCATCTATATTTTTTTAAATACATTAAATGCTTATGTTAAATAACATTAACAAATATATGAAATTTGTGAAATTATATTTGTCACCTGATCTATGACTTAGCTATTTGGTATTTCTTCATCTTCAATGAAACCGAGCACGACACAAACCTAAATATTATTGTTTTATTCCAATCAATAATCTCTCCTTTTTCATGATCTCATTAGTGTTTTCATCTATAATGTTTTGTCAACAATGGTTTTAAGTTATAATTTTCCTTGATGCTCATATTTTCTATGCCTCATTGTAATTACATTGTTATTGATCAATTACAAATGTGGCGATATGAACGTTTAAAGAGCAACATATTTTTGTAACACATTTTTAAATTTTTAGCATAATTTGTGTACCTAGTTTATAGGAATATTTTTTTAAATGTCTGTGATATTTAACTATTCACATATGATCTTACACTTTTATATCTGTTATATAATTAATTTTGTAACTCCGAAAGTTATTTTATTATCACAAATATTTATTGTTATTAATTGTTTGATTTGATTGAAATTCACTATATTTTTCATTTTTGTCTTATTGTCCATGACAACATTTTTAAGTTTTGTATGTATGGTTATATTAAGAAATAACATTGTAATACTAATATTCTCAAAAAGGACAATGTTTATTGAAAACATTTGCTTACCAAGCAGGTGAAAGCAATGGAAATTTATTTTTATTTACTTTTTATTTATTTATTTATTTTTTTTAAATTGGCAAATATATTTTATAAATTTGCCAATAATTAAACCATGTTATATATGTAACCTAAACTGTCCCTAACCCTATCTAACCTAATCTAGTCCCAACCCTACTTAACCTATGCGCATTTTCAATCATATTTTTCCACTCATTGAAAAAACATTTTATCATGGATAGATGATGCCTAGCCTAACCCGTCCCTAATTGTAACCCTATTTAACCTAACCTACCTTAACTTATACACTCCTAGGTAATGCGAAAATGAAAATTATAATAATACATAAAAGGAAACAGTGAGTTTAAGAAGAAAGGAAATAAAAGCAGGTTGATAAAACACACACATTGCATTTTTCTACACTTAATGGGAAAAAACACTCATTGTTATGTAACCTAACCCATCCATAATCCTAACCCTATTTAACCTAACAACCCGTCCCTAACTCTACCCCTAACCACCTTAACATAAAAAAAATGGAAATCAGTAATATTATACATAAAAAATGGAAATCAGTAATATTACACATAAAAAATAAACAGCTTGATGAGAAAAGAAGAAAATACTTAATATGTTTATTAACAAAACATTGTATTATGGATATTTAACCTAACTTGTCCCTGACCCCTAACCCTAAGTACCTAACCCTTGCACACTATCTGGTAATGCAAAAATGGTCACACAAAAAAATGGAAATAACAAGCAATATTGTACATAAAAATGAACAGCCTATAAACAGTGAGCTTGATGAGAAAAGAAGAATAAATTAGATAGATAAAACTTGCTCTTCACACTTGAATATTTTCTCTGCTTCTTTTTGTAAATTGATTATTATAATAGTATATAATTTATAAAATATATTTGCCAATAATTAAACCACCTGATCACATTATTGACACTTGCTCAAACCAGTATATTGAATATGAAAACTACTTGAAATAAGAATATAGAAAGTGGTTGTTGTGTGTGTATGTTCTAGCGTGCGTGTGTGCGCATGCATGTGTGTCTGCTAGATTTCTTCTTGAACTATGTAGTAAAACAATAGTCTCAGTGAAAAATTGATACTACTGTATTGTTGATTTCTGTGACCATTGTCCAGCTTTTTACTTATTGATTCACTCGAACATTAATTAATTTTTTAAAAATTAAGTTTTTAAACATCTTTAAAAAACTTTTCTTTGTGCACTTTACAATGTTGCTAATTGCTTTTAAATAAACTCCTGCATGTTAATTGTAAATCTGTGTAATTTGTATGTAATTAGGCAATAAGTTTATGTTTTTTGTAGATGGAATGTTGATAGTTTGTTTATTTCTTTTTTTTATTGTACAACCATAGTTTACAAAAGCATATCTTTTGTATTATATTTTTTGTTGTATTGTTATTATGTTAATATAATCTTTATTTATGCATGTGTCTGTCTTTGCTAATGCTTCTCCTCGCGTGTCTTTTATTAGACACCTTATTTTTTTCCAGTATTAACTCAAAATCTTGCCACTACTTTCATCAACAACTCAATAAAGAACTTCAAATTAATTATGCCTTAATGATTGTTTGAACTTAACAATAAGATCAAAATCTCATCAATTTGTATTTTATTTGCATATATAAAATGACAAACATTTCTTCAGAATACTGTGAAAGATCCTTTTTAATTCAAATATTTTATAACACATTGTATATTCAGTCATTTTACTTTTATGAGTGAAAGTACGAAGTTTATTTAATTTTGAGTGTAATGAGAAGAGTACCAATTCAATACTTTTTTTAAATTTTCTACGTCTGTTGATTTGAAAATCTTCCTGAATAATGAGACATAACGACTTCAGGACCGCGTTAATTTTTTCCAGGCATTGGCATTGTCATGCACTCCCCAATCAGCATGGAATTTGAGGTAAATAATCAGTACCATTAAGAACCTCCCCCTGATATTTGATGATGAACTTGTTCCATTTTGATCCATCGGTGGACTGTATTAAAGTTCTATTTTGGAGTTCCATTCTATACAAATTTCCATTTTTTGATGGCTTCTTATAATTGTCTATTGATTTTTATGCGATGGTGTTAAATTACATCCATGTAGCAAAATATATATAATACCTTTAAGGTTCTGCTTATACGCTCTATCAGCTTATTCAGACTGTGTTCTTTTTAAATCCAAAACTTTTTCCCTTTTGGTAAGCATGCTGCACCATGGCAACAAAATATAGTTTTTTTAATTTCTAGGCTCTTTTTTTAATGGGGTATTTTATTGGCTGTACTATTTTTGCTGTTGCTGTAGCCTATTTGAGTCTCTCAATGGATATATTCTGGAATATAATGGATTTTACAGTAAGTCAGTATTCTCTGTGTTCGATGTGCTTCATTCTCTGACCCAAGGTTCTTAATCAGTACATCTAGGAAATTAGGCGGCAGAGGACTTCACTTTGTGATGATAAGACTTGTATCTTTATATTGTACCAATTGGCAATACTTTGCCTTTTCAGCAGAGGCTGGAGCTTCTTTCTTGAAGGGTCTCTAACATTTATTTTCACCAGGACAAACTTGTAAAGTTTAGGGTTGGTTAGGCAAAGTCGATAAGTTGATCTGGTTGTTTGTCAACCTAGTCCAATCTTATGGCTATTAAAATGGTAAGTATAAATATAACAACAATGAATTCTGATGTGACATCAAGTAAAATTCAATTTCTAATCAATCAAAGTTTTAGTTTCTTAACAATTCATGAAAATGATGGCTTACTGTTCTTTTTTATGTATAATATTGCTTATTATTTCTATTTATTTTGTCACCATTTTCATATTACAGGGGAATGCGCATTGGTTAGATCAGGTTAGGTAGGGTTTGGTTAAGTAGGGTTAGAGTTAGGTACTGGTTAGGTAAGTTACATATCTGTGTAGCTATCTATGTTTTTCTGTGAAGCACAGAAATATGCGATTGTTATCAACCTACATTTTTCTCACTAAGTTCATTGTTTTATAGGCTTACTGTACATTTTTTCATTGCTGGAGAGTGAACATGTTGGGTTAGGTTAGGGGTAAAGTTAAGAATTGGTTGTTAGGTTAAGTGGGGCTGGGTTGGTAGGGTTAAGGTCAGGGAAATGTTGGGCTACATATTTTACTTTTATCAACCTAAATGTTTCTTCTTTCCTTATCAACCTCACTGTTTATATGTGTCCATTTTTATGTATAATTTGCATATTATTCTGTGTGTGTGTGTCCATGCGTGCATGAGAGAGAGCGTGCGTGCGTGTGTGTGTATGGTTAGATCAGGATAGGTAGGGGTAAAGTTAGGGACTAGGTAGGTTAGGTTAGTTGCATATCCATGATACAATGTTTTTCTATGAAGTGGAGGATATATATACGAGGGTTATCAATCAATTTTTTTCTTATACATTTTTATATATACTATTGTTGTTATTTCCATTCTATTTCCTTTTTGCGTGAACAAGTGTGCGCATGTTAGGTTAGGTGAAGGTAGAGTGATAAATGGGTTGGGATAGGTTAGAGTTAGGGATGGGTTGGATTAGAGCTCAGGAGGGGTTGGATTAGGTTGGGATTAAAGTCAGGGATGGGTTGGGCTTGGTTAAGTAGGGTTAGGTTACATATCCACGATAAAAAAATTTCCATGAAGCAAAAAAATATAGTGTGAAGTACGAATTTTATCAACCATATTTTTCTTCTTTTCTCATAAAGTTCACTGTTTATACACTTTCTGTTCATTTTCAAGTTATATATTGCTATTTCTTTTCATTCTTCTTTCTTTCTTTTTTGTGACCATATTTGCATTACCTGGTTTGGTTAGGTTAGGTAAACTTAGGGTCAAGGCTAGGTTAGGTTACACAACACAATATTTTTTGTAAAGCGAAAGGGTGAGTTTATCAACCTAAATTTGTCTTATTCTTTTCTCTTCAAGCTCAGGCCAGCACCCACCATTTTCATTATGCACCGGAGCCCATCATCCTCACTCCACTATGTAGGTCTTGCAAGCTTACATATCCACTTTTATTTCCATTATATTATTAATAAATAAGTGTCAATTTTAATTTTTTCTTGTTTACTTGTTTAAAAATGCAGGTGTACTCTGCTACAAATTGTATTTAACATTGTTTATGACACAATACTCTTATTTATGTGATAGTTCATTGAAAATTGGAAAAGTACAGATTATCATTTAACATTATCCCACAACTAGATGTGAAAATTACACAATTATTGATACTTGGTTTTTCATAGGTTCGCTTTGTTTTGTACCAAGGTTTCGGATGTAGTCATAAAGAATATTTCCATGCTACTCCCAACAAAGGCATTTTTAAAAACTAATTTACTCATGTTGATTGTTCTGTTCTAATCTAACGTTGATTGACTTATGAATTTTTATTTTACATCCGGTTATTTATTTTCAGGTATCTGATTTATCTGAGCACATTATTACATCTACAGTTCACCCGAGTACAAGCACAACTGTCAAAATTGAAGCAGAGCTAAGTGATAAAACTAGAAAAACTCATTGGAAAAGTCAGAGCATTGGTGAAGTTAGGGATAACGATTCAATCGACGGTCGATGCTCTTTCAAACATAACAGAGAACTGTGGCAAAGAAGAGCAGCTTCACAAAACGCATTGTCGACCATGTCAACTGAACAGTTAGAGCTCAAACATATCCATACCCCCGATCTTGTAATGGATTTGCCAACCAATCCAGAAGAACACCCCGCTGGGCTAGAGAGCCCGGACATGACAACGGCCGCTGAAAGGTTTGCTAAGCAAAATCAGTGCACTCTTAAAAAAAACACAAAGGCACCAAAGGCAGACCCTGACTCCAATTCCCCTGTAATGCAGAAAAAAACACAAATTAAAAACAAACCTGAGATAATGAAAAAGCCCATCTGCCTTCCACAGTCACCTATGGTTATAAAAAAAGATCAAAAGCAATGAAGAATTTGTTTTTAGAAATTTTCAGACCGTCGAACTTTAAAATTCCTTAGGTGAAATTTCTTCATCCGATATTTCGTTAGATTAGGGCTAATTGCTTGTAAAGTTTGATTTAACAGAAAAACTATAATACCAAAGTTCTCAAAATCCTATCTATCAGACTATTATATGTCATATAATTTATTATTTTATATATGTGTTGTGTGTTTATAATATGCATACTACACATAATATCAAAATGTGATAGTTTAATTACATATATATTATATACCTTTATACTGTGTTTATGTATATGTGTATTAAGCCAAATTATACAACCGTACTTAACTAACATTCGTTATAGATGGTAAAAAAATAGACACAATGTACTTTGGACAATAATATAAAACAAGGAGTAATTTTTAACCCAAGATTATGTAGGGTGTGTTTGATTTTATCTGATCTTCAACGCTAATTTTAATTTTGATATTTCATGCCTTTTCAATTGCAATGTCCCTCAAAGTATTTTTTTAAAAACTAAAATTGTCATAATGATCTGACAAAATTTAAATATATTGTATTTACACTTGATTAATATCAAAAGTGAGTGTTGATTTTTTGTGCTAATTTCTATATTAAACGCTAAATTAATTTTGCAAACTTTTAACTCTTAAAATTAAACTTTTTAGTATTAGTCATAATGTTTAATTAATACTTAGTGTATCTAGATAACGAAATTAGCCGCTGTATTTTGACATTGAAATTACATTCCTAAAAAATAAATGTTAGTTCATGCTTAATTGACCTGCATGACCATATGAATATAATAAACTATTAAAGATAAATTGGTTCTAAATGTTTAAACTACAGTATATTTTATTATGAGCTATGTTTAAAATATTTTGGAGGGATGAAATGTTTTGATGATGTGATATCTTTTGAAAAACCTTTCGTTTTTATTTTTTTTAATGCTTGGTTGTAAATGTAAGAGTTTTGTATCGTAATGTAAACTATCATTGACTGAGAAGACACCAAAAAAAATTAATAAAATAAAAATTAAAAAAAAAGGCTGAGGAAATTGCTGGGGAGGGGTACTTGCTCAAAATTTTAGTGCTTCACTTTTTGTGGTCATTCCTAACTACTTTACATCAATATTGCTTTTATAGTTTAAAAATTTGAGCAAGGGTGTTTCAAAATCAGATATAAAGCTAAATACCCTATTAAAATTTGGTATTCATGCATGGCTAAAGTGAAAACGAAATAGACAACTAGTACACTTACCAATTTTTCTTTTTTTAAGTTTAAAAAATTGATAGGTAATAAAAAACTAAGTTTAAAGGATTAAAATTATATTAAATTATATAATATATAATAAATAATAAATTTATTTAATATATATTATTTATTAAATAATAAAAAATATATGCTTTATTTATAATAACGAAAAATTAAAAGTACTTCATTAAAATAAAATGGAGTCAAAATAAAAATGATACAGTGAAAAATAAAAAGGAAATATATACGTTATCAATGCCAAACCTTTGTTTTTTAAATATTTCTTCTCTCGTGTGTTTATTCTACTAACTTTTTATTATAATCATCATTAGAAAGTTTCTCCTGTTCTTCAATTAGCTTTCTTATTTCAAATTGTAATTTTGACCATAGATTTCCGATGATGGTGGAGGTGTTTGAGCCCTTTGGGACCATTGTGCAGACTTTTTTTTAACTAAATGATCTAGATCTTTAAATAATCATTAATATTCATTTTTCTGCACTTAATTTCAAGTTTTCCCTAAAGTTTTTGATGTGAGTGCTTGTCTGTTAACTCTTCAATAAAATGTAGATTTCCTGTCCAATTGCTGACATACAACCTGAAATCATGGGTTGAAGAGTACCACCACGAGTACAATAAGACTTTCTCCATACAAAACAACCATCTGAACCAAATATGTTAAATTTTTATTTTTATTAGAAGAATGCTTTTTCCAGATGAACTTTTTTGCACAGTCTTTCAGTCTCACTGACATGTTTTGGTGTGCTTAATCTCAGGTTTTTCTCTTTTTTAACCTTTTCAAACTATGTTGAATGGTAGAATGACTAATTTAACTATCTGAGTTATTTGTATAATAGGTTTTCCCCTACGATTGTGGCTCAAAATTAATTCCCTTTCTTTTAGAGTTGTGTGAGCCCACATTGGACAAATTTAGTTTCATTCTCTCTCTCACATTTTCAATAAATATTGTCAGGATAGCGAAGAGAATAAATTACTCCAAAGGTCACAGTAGTGTATAAAATTATCATTTTTACTTATAAGTAATTAGCTTATTCATTTTTATGCATATAATTATAGGTTTCTAACAGATATTTCTTTATTATGTACCAAATTTTTAAATCAAAAATCAATTAGTAAGTTAACTTTTTGACTGTATCGTTTTCACTTTAAGCCACTGTATGTAAAATTTTTACACTTATTAATTATATGTGGCTTTTGATGTATAATTAATTAGAGTTAAGACCAAAGAATACAAATATTAAATGTTTTTAGTCGTTAATTTATTTCAGGGGAGGGGAGGGTAAAAACAATTTCCGCTTAAATGATTGCGCTATTTGATACGAGCGGAAGTCAGAGATAAATTTTTAAATGATGTCCATACAAGATGTCCAATATCTCCCATTAATAAAATTATTTAAATCAATATGTGCTTGCCTCTGGAAATCAGGATAATATTAATTGACAGTGGGAAGCACCGACAATAAGTCGCATACCAATATAACACCACACATTTCTTATTTATATAAGGGATATTTTCATAAATATTTATATAATTGATGTTAAATGGGATTTTATGTTATACTTAGAACAGTGTATGGACAATATAACTGTAGTTTCCATTGAGTTTTGAATGTCCTTTGTTTTAATTTAATTTTTAGATAGAGCTGAAGATAAACTTGAATATTTAATTTTATACTTTACTATCATGTAAGGTAGATTTTACGTCATGGACATTCGAAAGTGTTGGCCAAATGTAGATTCAACGAATGTAAGTCCTAAAATTTAAGGTTGGACCCAGTAAAGTATATTTTAGGATATGCTCTTATAAATACGATGAAATTATTTTTATGATAATGTTTATAAAAGAACATGTTATTTTATTACATCTTTAAAATAGTTTATTTTATATTTTCACCCCAAAATTTGTATTTATATATTCGTAGTGTAACACAGTTGAAAATTGTATATTTTTTAAAGATTTAATAGCTGCACTCAGATATATTGAATCATTGAATGAGTGTTAAGTCATTTAATAAGATGTTAATTCGTTCAGGAATTTTGTGTTTATCAAATCGCCTAAAAATTAGTGTTTTTTTGTTTTTTTAATTGATGTGTTAGTTTTGTAATATTTTAATTTTTATTCAATAGCAAGTAACACATTTAGCTTTTGTTCTATTTATTATGAAGTTAAAATTTTTGATGCAATATTTTTAACTGTGTATTTTAGTTACTTGTATGCACAATGATAAGATGGACGATTCAACGTTCAAATAATTTAAGTATTATTAATGTTGTATTACTAATTTTTAATTCAATATATGTTTCAAGACTGACTGACTGACTTTTAAATTTTATAAATAAAAAATAAGGATTTTTTGCTTTGTAATTATTGTGCTTGCCATTTTTAATCAAAGTTTCTATTTATTTTGTTTTAATATTTAACAGTACTGTAAGCAAACAACGATTCTTAACTTGAAGCCAGAAAACTTTTACTTGATGTAAAGACTTGTTGCCACAATATCACACTTAATACACTTTAACACCACAGTAGATTTTTAATTACTAAAATATAATTTAAATTACTATAAATTATGTAGTTTAGTCATATTTTTACCAAGTCAGCATGTTCAATATCATGTGACAATATAACACTAATATAAATTTAATGTTGTGTATGGTTGTTTACGAGATACAGGTACACTTAACACTTATCTGATTGATTTAGCTTAACCTAGTAATGCAAATGTTACATAAGAGTTGATATTGTGACAGCCAGTTTAAAGAAAAAAACATTTAAAGGATTGAATCTTACTTTGTTTGTTAAATACTGTTATTTTGCCATTTGCATTTGTTAATAAGTATTCAAGTTTCAATAAACTCTTAATTTAGATATCTGGCGTCTTAATTTCTAACCCAAATATCCATATCATACTCTTCCTTTTCCATGAAAATCAAGGCTCAACGCACTTCGTTAAATATTGCATTTACAATCACAAAATCTCTAAAACCCCATACCCACCATCTGAGTATAACTTGACCACCCCAAAAGAAATCAAAGAGGTTATTAACTTCTGAAAACCTAAAAAAGTGCCCTGGCCTGGATGGAATTTGTAAAAAGTATGTGTGTGTGTGTGTGTGTGTGTGTATATATATATATATATAATATATATATATATATACAATAACTAAGACCAAAGAAAATATAACAAAAAATAAGGAAAGGGCTATAGGCAAATTGAACTAAACAAGAAAAACGATGCAATACCTGTCATTGTGTACATTAAGAACAGACAAAAACAAAGCGAAACAAAAATACCAACAAAGAGAAAATAAAATCTAGAAATAAGAATTTAAAAACTGCCAAAGTAATCCCAAATCACCACAACACAATAGAAAAAATACACCTATCAAACATTAAACTACCAAGAAAATTAAAAGATTCTCATAATATTTCAGGTTCTTCTCACTCCTCTTCTGGACAACAACCAGAGGAATCAACATAGTTGATATAACAAATGGTATTGGAATAATTCCTCTTGATTTGAGTTTATCAAAATTGGAAATTTCAGAACATGCATTTATTCATATTATATATTTTTATATAGATTTATTTTGTATTATATGTATTTATATTATTCATTTTTATATATTTTAGAGTAAGAGAATTGCTTAACCAATTAAATTATTTAGAAGAATTTTATAATTGTATATATAAATTAATGTAATTAAAATAGTTTAATCGTATTTATGCGATCGGGCTTTCAGGGTAGGAGAGATCTTTCTCTCCTCTCCATATAAAGCAGCTGCAGAGATTATACAAGGATCCATTCTCAGGCCCATTTTGTTTTCTATTTACATAATGCTATCCCACGAATAACTAAATGTTCCCTGCCACTTTATGCCGATGACATGTCCTTGTTATCAACATCTTGAAGGCAATCGCGAAATTTAAATAGGGGAATACAAAAAGATTTTATAAAAAATATCAATGAGAACAAGACTGATTTTTTTCCACCAAACGAAGACCAGTTCTAGAGTAATACATAGTGAAAAATGGCAAAAAGGAGGGAAAATTCAAAAGGTGGGGTTGAGATGGGAAGTTAGTGCCCAAGTGGATCGAAGTCACGATAGCTCAAGTGGTAGAGTAGCGGCGTATCAAGCTGAAAGGTCGTGGGTTCAAATCCACTCGTGACACTGACTTTTTTTATCTAAACTAAAAACCTTAATTAATTGAATGATATTAATCGGTCAAGCGGACCACAAAAAATAGTGAATGTAATACATAGTGTGTAGTATCCAAAGAGTAAAGTGGGCACACAGTTAAGTACACAGTATAGTTCTATCGTGGAACCCCCTAAGATTAAGACCTTGGATGTTCCACTTTTTCTCTCAAAGCCAAGTAATGGACTCGGTACCTCTTGATGCACTTTTCTTGGTTGAGGATTGCCTTTTCAAATTGACTATACTGTATATTACCTAGAGCCTAACATTGACAAAGGATATGTGCTGATGTCTCTGGTTTATTAAGAGGATAGAGGCATGTTTCTGTCTTGGTTTTGTCTGTATTTCTTACTACCTGTAACAAATGTGATCTCTTTTTAAATTTCTGCCACCTTCCATGTAAAAATGTACATAGAGAGGGATCCAAAATGGGCCCTTGTGGCAATCTGACTATGATACTAACTGAGACATATAAGCCGTCATTGTCGGAAGGATATTTTTTTTTGTAAGTGCAAGTACACTAGTTTAACATATCCCTAAAATGTATTGTTAGGGTAAGTGTTAGGAATCGGCTAGTATTAGGCTATGTTAGATAGGGTTAGAATTAGGGACGAGTTAAGGTTAGTGTTAGAAACGGCTAGGATTAGTCTAAGTTAGG